CGTCTAGCTATTGGGAAACTTAAACCCCGACATTGTGGCCACAAGCCTTGTGGTCCGATTCTGGGGCTTGGTGTTTTTTGCAACCCAGCAAATCAAGTTCAACGCGTCCCGGGGAGCACCTGCGCGGGTTCCAGTAGCTTACTTGTGACGCCCTCGCCTTAGCTGATGCCTGGACCTCAGCAATCGGCCCACAAGCGTTGGCAACCGATCTTGGGGGTTCGGAACCAAGTCAGCGTGGAGACATTTGTCACAGGCTTGGTGGCATTCGTGCCGAGATCATGTCGCGCCGAGAAAGCATGTTGGCGGGTTCCAGTTTTGATGCATTGAGTGTGCAACAGCGTTGGAAAATGGTCCTGGCAGCCTAGTACTTTCCCGAAAAGGCTTACAGGAAAAAGGCTTACAGCTCAGCCCTGTCGTAGCCTCTGTTCTTTCAGAGGCACTGTATCGGTCGATTTTAGGGCGTAGCTAGCAGCTGGCCGTCAACTTTAGAGTGTAGCTGGCAGCTCGTCATTGCCGCTCGATTTGAGAGTGCAGCTAGCAGCTGGACTTCATTGCGGCCGTCGTTCAAATAACCTCACAGCTGATACTGGGCCTGACGACAACATGTTCCAGATCGTGTCAACGTGTTTTAAAACCGAGCTTAACTTGATAACCAACTTTTTGGCTCATGCCAACTTCGTACAGCTCAACCCTGATTTCAGGCCTTGAAACCCCTAAACAGCCGGCTCAACAAAGACCCCAACCCTCAACCTTCAACCTTAATCCCTAAACCCTAGACCCTAGACCCTAAACCCTAAAAACCCAAACCCTCAAAACGCCCCTTTGGTTTCAGGACGGGCTCGAGATCCCTGAGGGGGCTCTCCTCTTCGCCCTGCACCCAGCTCTGGTCGACCGGGCGCTGGATCGCAAGCCTGACCCCGAGGAGAGTAGGGTTTAGGGTTTAGGGTTAGCACCCAAAACACAAACCAAAAAACTAGAAATGATGCCTAGAAACCCTAAACCCTAAACCCTAAACCCTCAACCCTCAACCCTCAACCCTCAACCCTCAACCCTAAACCCTAAACCCTAAACCCTAAACCCTAAACCCTAAACCCTAAACCCCATACCCCCAAAGCCCCCCCGGAAGGAGGACTTCTCCCAGTACGCCTTCGGAGTCGGCCCACGCAGCTGCCTTGGCCGGCCTCTCGCCGAAGCGCGGCCCGGCGTGGAAGCCTCTTAGGGTTTAGGGTTTAGGGTTTAGGGTTTAGGGTTTAGGGTTTAGGGTTTAGGGTTTAGGATTTAGGGTTTAGGGTATAGGGTTTAGGGTTGAGGGTTTAGAGTTTAGGGTTGAGGGTTTAGGGGAGGGGGAGACGGTTCAAAAAGGCGGCTTCTAGTTCTAGTCCTTTATTGGTACTTTAGGGTTTAGGGTTTGGGGTTTAGGGTTCAGGGTTTCGTAGGGTTGGGGTTTGGGTTTAGAGGTTTTAGGGCTCATAGGGTTGTAATGTCTTACGGGTTAGGGTCCGAGCCTCGTCTCCACCTTACCTGCAGTGTCGGCAATCTCCTTAGATCGCACGGCCTGGCGCCTGAACCCAAACTCAAACCCCTGGGAACCCTTTGCCCGATACCCCCCCCCCCCCCCCAAAAAAAAAGAGGAACATGCAGGCTCAAAAAGCCAACAGCGTGTAAACTGATATCCGGAGATTCTCGTACACCTCAAACCCTAAACTCGAAACCCTAAGCCTGAAACGCAAAACCCAAGGCCCAAACCCTAAACCCGAAACCTTAAAGCCCAAAAACCCTAAAACCCGAAAACCCGAAGCCCTAAACCCGAAACCCTAAACCTTAAACCGTAAACCCTAAACCCTAAACCCTGGATCGGTGCAGAATGTGTGCTCCGAGGATCCTCCCGGCAGTCCTGGGGGCGGTCCTGAAGCGCTACAAGGTTTCTCTTAAGGGCTTCGCAGGGTTTAGGGTTTTGTAGGGTTTAGGGTTTAAAGGGTTGAAAGGGTTTAGGGTCAGGGTTTAGGGTTTAGAGTTTAGGGTTTAGGTGTTTAGGGTTAGAGCTTAGGGCTTAGGGTTTAGGGTTAAGGGTTTGGAGCTTGGGGCCTTTGGAGTTCGAGGGCTCTGCCGGGAGGGATGTTCGTGTGCCACAGATCGACGTTCCGGACAAGTACACTGGCGAGTATGAGGAGGCCCTGAAAGGGAAGATGCCACTTGGCTCGTTTTGGTACATCTCAAATCCCTAAAGCCCTAAACACTAGGACCCTAAACCCTAAACCCTAAACCCTAAACCCTAAACCCTAAACCCTAAACCCTAAACCCTAAACCCTAAACCCTAAACCCTAAACCCTAAACCCTAAACCCTAAACCCTCTTTTACTATGTATATTTAAACCCTAATGACCTTCGTCGGCAAATGGTTTTTTTCCACCCGGGGGGGGGCCCTAAACCCTGACCCCCTTCGTCGGCAAATGGTTTTTTTCCACCCGGGGGGGGGCCCTAAACCCTGACCCCCTTCGTCGGCAAATGGTTTTTTTCCACCCGGGGGGGTCCTAAACCCTGACCCCCTTCGTCGGCAAATGGTTTTTTCCACCCGGGGGGGGGCCCTAAACCCTGACCCCCTTCGTCGGCAAATGGTTTTTTTCCACCCGGGGGGGGCCCTAAACCCTGACCCCCTTCGTCGGCAAATGGTTTTTTTCACCCGGGGGGGGGCCCTAAACCCTGACCCCCTTCGTCGGCAAATGGTTTTTTTCCACCCGGGGGGGGCCCTAAACCCTGACCCCCTTCGTCGGCAAATGGTTTTTTTCCACCCGGGGGGGGCCCTAAACCCTGACCCCCTTCGTCGGCAAATGGTTTTTTTCCACCCGGGGGGGCCCTAAACCCTGACCCCCTTCGTCGGCAAATGGTTTTTTTCCACCCGGGGGGGGCCCTAAACCCTGACCCCCTTCGTCGGCAAATGGTTTTTTTCTATTTGGGGCATAGGGTTTAGGGCTCGTAGGGTTTGGGGCATAGGGTTTAGGGCTAAATTTTGCTCCCAAAACACCTCAAATGAGGGGGACCCCAGGATCGGCAAGGGTCCCAGTTAAAAATGCGATTTTTTAGTACTGAAATTTTCTGGATTTTTGACCAAAACCGAGCCTTCACCGATCGGGGCTTCTAAACCGTAGGGTTTAGGGCCCTAAGAGCATAAAGGGCTTATTGCGGGCCTTAGATTAGATTTCGGGTTTTGGGTCCGTGAAAAACTAAAACATTTTGGACCAATTGGACTTTGAGCTTTAAGCCTACCGGGAAAGTATTGAGTGAACTTTATATTTTCTCAATGTTATGGGTTTCTTGGGTGGGTGGGATTTTTTTCCAACGCTTGACAAGCTGCTTGACTAGTGAATGCTCGGACTGGAGATGCTGAACCCTAAACCCTAAACCCTAAACCCTAAACCCTAAACCCTAAACCCTAAACCCTAAACCCTAAACCCTAAACCCTAACCCCCAAACCCTAAACAGCCCTAGCCCAAAAAGCCCCAGAAGCAGGAAGCCCCTGAACCCCTGAAGGCCCTAAACTCCTCAACCAAGCAGGCTGTGGGGTTTGTGTAGGGTTGAGGGTTTGGGGTTTAGGGTTTAGGGTTTAGGGTTGGTTAGGGTTTAGGGTTTAGGGTTTAGGGTTTAGGGTTTAAGGTTCAGGGTCTGGGGTTTAGGGTTTAGGGCAGCAGAGACTGAGGAGCGGGCAGCTTATCCGCCCTTCTGGTGCCCCAAGACTGTCCTGGCGGCGGCAGTGAGGATGAAAGAAAGAAGTCCGCCCGAAGCGTACAACGTCAATGTCTGAGCCCTGAACCCTAAACAGTAAACCCTAAACCCTAAACCTTAAACCCTAAACCCTAAACCCTAAACCCTAGACCCTAGACCCTAGACCCTAAAATTCCCGAAGCCTATAAGCCCGGCTTCTAGGGTTTCAGGGCGCTAGGGGCCTGGACACCGGAAGGACCAGGTGTTACTTCCCCCCCCCCCACGATTCGAGGTGAACCCTAGCAGTCCCACAAGCCCTGCAACCCGGTTGAGATTTCAAGGTTTTCGGGTTTGGGGGCTAGCTTAGGGTTCAAGGCCCCTTTGTCTTGAAAACGTGTTGAGTTCCTGAGCATCAAAACCTTAACCCCCACACCCCCCACTCCCCTACCCTAGCCTTATCTTCCTGCCGAAGCCCGATTGCGCGGGAATCAACCCTGAGCCTGATGGCCTATGTAACTCTAAGCCACTGCCTCAGAGACTTTGCGCTTCATTCCTGCTCAACGCCTTGAACACGCTGGGTCCAACCCGAAGTCCTTCAAAGCTAAGGGATTAGGGTTTAGGTTTAGGGTTTCAGAGTTTAGGGTTTAGGGTTTAGGGATGTTTTTGTTCAAGGGTTTGGGTCTGGTGCAAACCCTAAACCCTTGCAACTACGAGCCCTTGCCCGAAATGGCGATGCGCTGGCAGGACTTTGCGATTGCCTGAGGGATGGTTCAGGTTTTACGGCATCTGCTATGGAGAGTTGGTGAAGACACCCGTAACCATGTAGAGATACAGTAGGCCTGGGATCACCTATAAAGCTTTCACTTGCAGTTCTTCTTCGTGAAAGGGCAGAGGGAATCATTGGTTCGGCTTTTGGAGGTTGGACTTCAGGCCGATGATGTTCCGCAGTCACACAATGTCTTCATGCTTGAGAGGCAAATTTCACGAAAATCTTTAGACACTCCGACTGGTACTCCTTCCTCGAATGCGTTGAGTGTGAATGAAGACAGACCGGAGCTCTGGACTTACATTCGCTGCCTCTTGCTGGCAGGAGTGTGGCTCACCCTGCTGCAGGTGAAGATCGTCGCCGCCAAGGCGGCTGCACAGCTGCTGGTACTAGTAGCCAGTAGGCCCTGCATCCAGCGGTTCCATGCGGCGAAGAGGAGGAGTTCTGTCCAAATTCATGTGCAAGCTTACTTAGTAACATCCGGCCAACATGCAGCAACAGGCTCCAAGCGCAAAGCTTCCGCGGTTTAGTGCTCAATGGCCACACGTCCACGTGACAACTTCATTCACCAGGCTTTGGGGCGGGACCTGTTGAGTCGGGGCGAAATCAGGCTATGGCTGAGCACAATTGACTCCACAGCCGACGAAAAACGACGTGGTGCTGCAGCTATGGTAGATCATTTCTTCGAGTGCCTTGCGGTGGACTCCTATCCTGCACAGGGACTTGAGACCATCTTTGGCATTACCATGTCTCAGGAGAGCCCGGGAGCAGCAAGATCGAAGAGACTCGGCGATTTGATGTATTGCTGCTGGTGTGAGCTCTACAAGAACCAGCGGCTCACGAAGTCTGAGCTTCTCAATGCCATTCTCCAGCATCGACTGCCGCAGTCGTTCAAGGCCTTGATTGAGGAAGCATTGGTGCAGAGGTGCATGCTTTCTGCTCATCTGCAGGAACTGGCGGATCGGAATGCCTGGGACCGCATTCCATGGGACTACCACAGCCTTAGCAAGTTTGCGCAAAGCCCGGGACCGCTCGCAGTACCTATACCTTCACCAGGCCTGCAGAACAAGAAGCTCCGAGTGGTGTGGATTAAAGTTCCTCAAGTTCCTTTTGGTGACCACACATGTTCATCTGCGGTCAAGCAAGACCTTCTCTTCGAAAGACCGGCAACATGGAGCATCATTCAAGACTTCGTGGCCAAAAGTGGGTGGGTAAAGTTTGGCTGTGAGGTCTTGGTCTTCCTCGGGGAGAACATTGCCTTGTACGCAGAGCCGTCCAAGTCCCACTACCCGCGCGACGAACTGCGGCGTCGAAAAAACCCTGCAGCCACCCTCCTCAACAGTGACAAGGACCTTTCGGCGGTCGATGCCATCTGCGGAAAAGCTCTACTTGTCCGACAAGATGGTAATGACCTGCTGAAGGAGACAGTGGAGAAAGCGTGTTTCTTCATTGACCTTTTGAACGCGCTGCAAGAATCTTTCGACGCTGAGCTTGGAAGAGCAAGTGCAAAGAATGAGAGAAGAGTGGCAGCAAACTTTTCACAAAGCCATTGCAAGCTGGCCTGTAGACCAGATAGGCGATGCATTGCAGAATGATGGATCACTGGTTACTAGTCAGCCCAGGGCCGCCGATGCAGACCCAGGCGCACTCCCGACAGACCACTGCGAACCACCAGATGTACCCTCTGCAATGCGAGGCAACTTTCCCTTTCCTTTCGAGAGAGCCGGCCAAAAAACCGTCAGGTTGGTACGCCTCAGGTTCGCACGCAATCCGGCTGCTTTTCATGAGTGCCTGCAGCGTTGCGAGCAGCTGGCTGCCTGTCGCAAGGCTCTGGCAGATGCCGGCTTCCAGTGGAAGCTTCCTGGTGGTGCATACGTCTTTGTTCCTGCAGGCCTGTACTTGACTGTGCAGGAGCACATCTCAGAGGAAGGCTTATCCCTGGGTCCAGCAGACGTGTTGGTGAGCGAGGCCTTGGAAAGTGTGGTGAGAGACGCCATACGATGCTTGCCTCGAAGGCTCAAAATCAGCGTGGAGAGTAGCCGCAGCTCCACACTTGAAGCCAAAGAAGTTGGGGTGATTGAAATGAGCGAGCAAGAAGACTTGTTTCCGATCAAGATTGAACGTACCTTCATCCACGTGAAGGTTCCAAGCTCCTTGCGTACTGAGCCTTCGGACGGTCCTCGCACTGCATCTAGCACAGATGCCGACCCCAGAAGCTTACCCAATCCTCGCACTTGCGTTAAGTCTCGCGGCAAGCAGGGAAACAAGTAGTGTATAGTGGACTCACTTGTCCAGGTCCAGGCATTTGCAGCTGTGCGTGCGTCAGGACAAACCTCCTGCAATCATGACCGGAGCCTGCACAGAGAGAAATGTGGCCTGCTCAAAGTTTCCATAACCCCATCAATGAGTTGTTAATGCTGATATTGTAGAATGTTCAGGCGCCCAAAGTATTCTGCAGAGGTTCAAAACATGTACAGCCGTCTCTTGGCATTCGCAGCAGTGCGTAGCAGTGCGTGCGTCAAGTCCTCAAAATTCGCAGCTTGCAGCCTCGCAAACTTGGCTTGTGAATCGTTTTTGGTGCAGGCTTTTGGTATAGGATAGAAGCATGACGCTGACCGCCGGCAATGCGAACAAAAACAGGACGCCTCTCGCATTGTGGTGCCAAGGGTGATTTATGGTAGCAGGGGCAGGTGCTGATGACATGCATGAATGAAGGAGCTGATGGGGATGAGCTTAGGTTGAATGACATCGCCGGCCTGAGGTGATGAAGAGTCGATCCCTGCCCTGCTGCTCTCCATTGCGCGCTCTGTGTATGCCATGCTGCTGCCAAGGCCGCTGCTAGTGCTGATGGCCGGAGCAGCAGCACGGCTCGGCCCCGAGGCCGAACCGCAATGCACCACTTCTCCATGCGGGTGTGTTTCATGAAAGCGCAGCGCAAAAATAGGCCCGGCTCAGCACCCAATGCCCGTGGACTTGACCTACCCGAACTTGCGAGTGTTTCAGAAGTAAGGGCTTTCACCAGAGACCTTCAGAAGACATCAGACACATCGCCTCTCATTGACCGGACATGAGTTGGAGGGCGCATGTCGGTAGAAGGTGGGTGCAGGTTTGTGCCAATTTCTGTCTGTTCTCCGCATGTGTTCTTCTGATGGCGTCATGTTTGTTCCACCTTGTCAGATCTCTAGGCAGAACCCCAACATCGCTAAAACACCCTAAGAACAACCCCACAATGGTGGTTTTGTTTGGGGTTTAGGGTTCAGGGTTTAGGCGTATGTGCGTTTGTGTGTGTATGTGTGTGTGTGTGTGTCTATGTTTCTTTTGGCCCTGCAGTTGTCGCAGTGCACGGTCACCAGAGCCGGTTTAGTAAAGAAGAGGGTTCATGACAGCAGCCAGCAGAAATCTTGGTAACTTCTTCACAAGTTCACAAGGTGTTCACTCAGATGGTATTCATCTTGAGCTCCGTCGATTCTTGCAGCGTGTCGGCGTGTTTGCTACACGTAGTTCGCCCAGCAATGGCGGGGATTTCTATTGCTCCCTTTGAGCCACCCATCTTCGACCCCCAGGATGGGGCTGGTCTTTGCGCCTTCCTGGCAGACTATGGATATGTCGTGGTCCAGGCTCTGAGCCCGGAAGAAGTGCTGGAGGCAGAGGAGGTGTTTTGGGAAGAAGCTGGCCTTGTGGGCTGGGATCGTCAGGCCCCCCAATCATGGACAGCCAAGGAGAAGTTTGAGACAATGGCAGGCCGCAGCGACTGCGGGCACATCAAAGGTTGGGATCACTCTGCCTTCCAGTGGCATCTGCGCAAGCTGCCGGGTGTGAGGCTTGCGTATGCTTCGGTGTGTGCTAGGCTGAGTGAGGCCATGGGGCCGGATGACAGGTTGCTCGCGTCCTTCAACTCCATCAACGTTTTCAGGCCCCATGGACTGAACCCGGCTTGGCAGACTACATCCACACCTTGGTTTCACATTGACAACCCGAAGCCTGACCCAGGAAAGCCCCTGACCCAACAACGGGTGGTTTTTCCTGGAGTTGTCAACCTCATGGACGTCTCCGCGGACACCGGGGGCTTCTGCTGCATTCCAAGGTCACACCTCCTCTTCGGCGCGTTGGACAGGGACGCAGGCGACTACCTGGACGTGACGCAGTTCACGAACTTCGTCGACTCCGAGGCAAACCAGCAAACTGGGAACAGCTCCTACACCCAGCCGGTACTGATTTGCACCGGTGGCCGGCGTGGCACGCTGTTAATCTGGGACCCGCGGCTTGTGCATTGCAGCACCTCGAGCCTGACGCCAGCGGAAGCCAACCAACGAGCCAAAGCCCCGGACTTGTTGAGGCTGGCTGCCTGGGTATCGATGTGCCCAAGGACGTGAGCAGTTTCCCCCCCCCAAAAATGGGTAGCCTCCCAATGCCCCCCCCCCCCCCCCCCTAGACTAAGTATACTGACACCCTAAACCCCTAAACCCCCAAACCCCTAAACCCTAAAGCTTGAGGGTACCCCGACCTTGAGATCAGGACGTGGGCCAGCCAAGCAGACTTGGAGGCAAGGCATGACCTGGTGAAGGGGCGGATGTGCATCAGCAGCCACGTACCCTATGCAGTGACGACCCAACGAAGCTCGGTAGGCCCTTGGAACATGTCATCTTTTCCCTTATTGGCTGCAAGAGGGGCCATGTTTAGGAATATCTTTTTCAGAAGGGTTTTTTAAAGGGCCAAGCCTAGGAAGGATCGAGTCCATGGTGTTCTACGACGACCTGTGGGCTGATGACATGGCCATGGAGATGATCGGCATGCCCGGTGAAGATGAAGAGGTGACCTGAAGGTACCCAGGGATTCTGATTTTCGCCCCCCCTGACTTTCTTGAGATCAAGAGTGCGTGTACAGTGTACAGAAGGCGATGGTGGATGTACAGTGTATCGCGTAGCACAAAGGCTCGTGCCACGCCTTCATGCGCCGTATTGCTGCTGCTACTGTTTTCACCATCTACAACCCCAAAGCTTGTCATTGTTTTCTTTTTCCGCTGCAGTGGGCTTGGCTTGCATTGGCTGCATTGAGCCTTCCTCGTCGCTGTTGCTTTGATTCATTCCGTTATCGGCGATGGTCGCTTGTCGTCCCCACGGAACCCTGAAATCATGTCACATTCGTAGAGGTTAACGCTTGTATGCCATAGCCGACTCCAGTGCCCTAGGGTTTGTAGGGTTTGTAGGGTTTGTAGGGTTTGTAGGGTTTAGGGTTTAGGGTTTAGGGTTCGGTGCAAGAGGCCAGTGGCCTTTTGCATCTGAGGTCTGCCCGTAGTGTCATAGACCCGAAACCCCCCATTTGGAAGTTGATCAAAAACACCCCAAACCCTAAACCCTAAACCCTAAACCCTAAACCCTAAACCCTAAACCCTAAACCCTAAACCCTAAACCCTGAACCCCTAAACCCTAAACCCTAGTCCCTAAACCCCGTTCCCTCAAAATACCCTCGAGTTCCTCAAATACCCTCTAGCTCCCCGCCAAACAACCCTTAGTTCCCCCAAAATGCCCTATAGTTCCCCAAAATACCCTGTAGTTCCCAAAAATGATCAAACACTGGTAGCCCAGTGGTACCCTTTCCCTTTTGTTTTTGGTTAACCAACCGAAAAAGGGTGCCCTGATTATTACGTGGTTTCTGGGCTACGAAGAAGATACCTGTTCCCAAAAATATCCTATAGTTCCGTTTAAGCAACTCGGAACCGTGGATATTTTCCCAGAAGGACGTGTAGACCAAACTCCATTTAGCAGCTACCGCCCATGGTTCTCATCTGACTCGTTCTCCCCGCCAGGCCCAGCAGAACGGCGGAGCGACGCTTTAACGGGGGTGAGGGTTTTCGGTTTGGGGATTAGAGGCCCCTAAACCCTAAACCCTAACCCTTGAGAGAAACCCTAAACCCTAAACCCTAAACCCTAAACCCCCAACCCTAAACCCTCAACCCTGAACCCTAAACTCTAAACCCTAAACCTTAAACCCGAAACCCTAAACCCCAAGCCCGAAACCCTAAACCCTAAGCTCGATATCGACGGTCCGTGTGTGTAGGCTCCGGGACGGCTGGTGCCAGGACTTGTTTCCCATTCTAAACCCCTAAGCCCCAAAGACAGGCGGCTGTAGACCCTAAAACCTAAACCCCAAACCCCAAACCCCAAACCCTGAACCCTACACCTTAAACCCTGGCTGAGGGTTCCGAAAATGGAGCCGGGAGGTAGGCCCCTTGATGAAGCAGCAAAAGGAGGAGGAGGGGGCGTGGTCTCTGAAGTGCGAGAAGATTGAGGTGGACGTTGTTTAGAGTTTAGGGTTTAGGGTTTAGGGTTTAGGGGCCCCCTCAACACCCTACACCCAAAAGCAAGCTCAACCCCAAACCCTGAACAGTTCTAAGCCCTAAACAACCGTAAACCTTCAACCCGACACCCGAAACCCTAACCCTAAACCCTAAACCTCAGAAATGCCTATGTCCCAGACACCCAACACACTAAACCCTGATTTTGACACGCCGGCTGTTGGCTCCAAACGGGGCTCAGGGCACGCCCTAAACCCTAAACCCTAAACCCTAAACCCTAAACCCCAAACCCTAAACCCTAAACCCTAAACCCTCAGCCCTAAACGCACACCCTCAGAACGCCGAAGCCATCGTCCAACCCTACGAAGTCCCTACCAACCTTCACCCTCCGCAGTTCGGTGCATAGGGTTTAGGCTTCAGGGTTTATTCGAGCCGGTCTTTCACTCCGAGGTGACGAGCCCCCCCCCCCCCCCGAGCAGAACAGAAGTCAACCTGAAGCCTCTCGATGCTGCACACCATCCGCATCACCGATGTGGCCGCCTCCACGTCGGTGGTCGATCCCGGCTGCCTACAGGACCTTGCGCGGGTTCCTAAACCCTGAACCCTGAACCCTGAACCCTGAACCCTGAACCCTGAACCCTGAACCCGAAACCCGAAACCCGAAACCCGAAACCCTGAACCCTAAACCCTACACCCTAAACCCTAAACCCTAAACCCTAAACCCCAACACCCAAAACCCTGAACCCCAAATGGGGACGTCGGGGAGTTTGTAGGACTCCGTGTTGGGCCTCGGAGTGGTTTGGGGGCTTAGGGCTTGGAGCAGTGGAACCTCACTTCAATCCGGAGTTTACGTCGTTTGTGCGTGGCTTCTGCGCCGCAGGGGTTTAGGGCTTAGGGTTTGGGGTTTAGGGTTTAGGGTTTAGGGTTTAGGGTTTAGGGTTTAGGGTTTAGGGTTAGGGCTTAGGGAGGAAGCCTACCACCTTGGCCCTCAAGGCTCATGAACTCTGACTAGACCCGATCCTGAAACTCAAAACGCTTGCCAACGTCCCCCGAGGTTTTCCACCGGCCCTGCATATGACTGAGCAGCTGCACCACCCCCAAACGCTACAAACCCCAAACCCTAAACCATAAGCCTAACCTAAACCCTAAACCAGATAAACTCTAAACCCTAAGCCTGCTTTCCGGCCCTGAACCCCCTGAAGCCTTGAACCTCAATTCCAGGAGGGCCGGCCGCCCGACCCGCACCTTGGATCCGGAGGTAGGTGGGGATCTGGAGATTCAGGGTTTGGGGTTTAGGGTTTAGGGTAGAGCGTCTCTAAACCCTCAGCCCTGAACCAGCTTCGGTTTTGGCTCTTAGTTTTCAGGGTTTGGGGGTTTAGGGGTTCAGGGTTTTCGGGCGTTGGGGCGTGGAGGTTGTCCGCGCTGTGTGCCGAGGAGGGGGGGTGCGCGCGCGTTTCAATGTTTCTCCTGCAGCTTCCCGGTAGAGTCATAGGTTTCGGGATTTAGGATGCCCCAAGACTGAAGCCCCTCACCCCCTATCCTGAGCCCTAGGGTTTAGGGTTTAGGGTTTAGGGTTTAGGGTTTAGGGTTTAGGGTTTAGGGTTTAGGGTTTAGGGTTTAGGGTTTGGGGAAAATCGGATGTAGGCTTTCGGGTCGAGGAAGTTTAGGTATAGGGCCGGGGTTTGGAATTTTGGAAGTTCAAACCCTAAACCCCAAACCCTCAAACCCTAAACCCTAAACCCCAAACCCCAAACCCTAAACCCTAAACCCTAAACCCTAAACCCTAAACCCTAAGCCCAGGTACCTCCTGATCAAGTCCCACCGCATCGCGGTGGGCAGCCGCCAAGACTTCCAGAGCCGCACCTCCACCCCCAGATTCCCAGGCGCTTGGGTCTAGGGTTTAGGGTTTAGGGTTTAGGGTTTAGGGTTTAGGGTTCTCCAGCGCAGCTGGCGCCCCCATCAATTCAGCGGGTAAATTCCCCCCCGAAACCCCCCCCAGGAAGCATTCCATAGCCCATCTGTTGTTTTGAGCTGGTTTTAAAGTTTGGCCTACTCCGTCGGTTGGTTCCCAAGCTCGATTTGAATTAATTATATTTTGTTCGGACCCCGGTTGAAACGGTTCATTTTAAACAGCTTTGTTTTGAAAGCGCACGTTTTAACCAAATGTCCCTTTGGACAAACAATTTTGTTTTAACACCTCGCCTTACCTTCCTCTGGATGACCCTCCCCCCCAGGATGCCGACACTCCAAACCCCACAAAAAACTCAGATTCCCAAACCCGCTTTGAACACCGGGCCCTTTACTTTCCAACCCGATTAACAACCCGAACGTCAAACCCACCCCACACCCCATCCAAAGATTGTTTTAGCTATTTTCGTCTGTGAGGCAACCGTGAAACCTTTCGTTAAACCAATATTCTGCGCTGGCGCATCAGGGCGAAGCCCCTAAACTTTATGGTTTAAAGTTTAGCGTGTGGGGTTTAGCTTTTAGGCGACAGGCGTTCTCGGCAGAAGGGTACCACCCAAGCCTCGCAGGCGCTCGAGGTTTTGCGGGGGGGGGGGGGGGGGGTGTTCTTGTATGTTGGGCAAGTCTACCCGTTTTTAGTTTGAGAGCCAAACCGTGAACTCTTTACTAGACCTGTAAATCCCTAACACCTTGAAGCCCTCAACCCGAAACCTGGGAACCTTTTTAAAGCTTTAAGCCCTAAACCCTAAACCCTGAAGCTTTCTGACCGCCAGGCCCATATGTAGTGAGCTTCGGCGGTATCAAGGATGCTGCGCAGTTGCTCCTCGGCCTGTGCCTGCGGATTCGAGCTTTGGGGCTGTGGGGCTTGTCTGAGCCCTAAATCTAGAATCCGAACCCGAAACCCTAAAGCCTGAACCCTGAACTCTAAGCGCTAACATCTAAACCCCCAAAGCCCTAAACCCTACAACCCTTGGGGGTGAACCAGGGATTCGCATGTGGGGTTTTGGGGTCGGGCGGAGGAGACCAAAAGCAAGCCGGCGGGAACTTCACATGCGGTGTCACCCTGATACCTGAATAGTGCCCTCAACCCTAACACCTAAACCCTAAACCATAAACTGCTCAGCTCCTAAACCCAAAAAGCTTTAGAAACCAGAAGAACAAGCCTCAGATTCCTCAACTGCCCGGTAAACTACCGGGAAGGATGGTGGAGCTGTGGGACCACAACAGTGGCAATGGCAACGATGCGGTCCTCGAGCAGGCGCAGGGAGCGCATTCTTGTGGGATCGGAACGGTCCAAGGTTGAAGAACTCTGTGGCTTAGGGTTTGGGGTTTAGGGCAAAGGGCTAGCGTTAGGGCTAGGGCCTAGGCTTTGGGGTTTATGGTTTAGGGCGCTAGGGTTCTGGGTTTTGAATGCTTAGGTCTTGGGGATGGTCAGTGGGGGTTTCGGCACGGAGAATTGAGGTGCCTGGGATGACACCGTCGGTTGCATGTCGTCTTTGTAGACTCAGCGAGTTGTTGAGAAGTTGCTGACTCGAACCCAAATCCTAAACCCTAAACCCTTAACCCTGTTGCAAACCCTAAACCCTAAACCCTAAACCCTAAACCCTAAACCCTAAACCCTAAACCCTAAACCCTAAACCCTAAACCCTAAACCCTAAACCCTAAACCCTAAACCCTAAATCCTAACTAAACCCTTGCTGATGATTTCTGTCGGCTGCAGGTGACGATTGACTTCCAGCATGAGGCCTCCGAGGGACACTTGGCAGAACCATGAGCAGAGAACCAATGGCATCCAAGGCGTCACCTCAAACTCCCCTAGGGGGGTTAGGGTTTAGGGTTTAGGGTTTGGGGTTTAGGGTTTAGGGTTTAGGGTGAGACCCGAGTAGTCCTTGCAGCTGCTTCTTGCCGCAAGTATGATGCCGATGCCACTCATGCGGGAAGTTTTGTGAGAAGACGCCGTTCGCCCCCAAGAGTGCGGCGACCCGTCAACTCCTAAGCCCCACATCCTACTGTCCTTTAGGGTTTAGGGTTTAGGGTTTAGGGTTTAGGGTTTAGGGTCCCCAAACTCTACACCCTAAGCCACAAACCCTGAACCCTAAACCCTAAAACCTATAAAGCCAAGCCCAGGTACGAAGACTTGGCAGATGTCTGCTGGTGGCACGATGACGCTGACCTGGGCCATCACCTCAGCATCCCGTCTCAAGAGAGTTCAGGGTTTTGGGCTGAACGAGGATAAGCCCTAAACCTTATGCCCCCAAATATCCCTAATCCCTAGTCCCTAAGCCCGAATCCCTAGGCCCTAATCTGTGCTATGCTCAAGGAGCCACTCTTCACCCCCCCCTCCACGCCCGACCTGCTGCGGATATCACGGGTGGCCGCGCAGGAGTCGGGTTGGGGTTCGGGGTTGGGTTGGGGGTTTAGGGTTCAGGGTTCAGGGTTAAGGGTTTGGGTTCAGGATTTAGGGTCTAGGGCTGTGCACAATTCGAGTCCCCTGGCCTGGCAGTAGATACTTTTCGCATTCAGCAACCGTCGCCGAAGATTGCCAGAGAAGAAGGCCATGACATTGCGGGGCACATGGGTAGTTCTCTAAGTCAGGGTCCCGTTTGGGGGGTCCTCTCTATTAACGTGCCGTACTATCTTCAGAGAGCTACCCACATGATGCTGAAGAGGAGTGGCTACGGCTACATCCTAAACCTCAAAAGCTGTTCCTAGCGCACGGAGCTTTCGTGAGCAGGGGGGTGTTGGTCGCGCTTGTGGAAGTTACAGCGCATCCGTCTGGGAGTTGTGCTCCGAGTGGAACCGTCTCCCAACAACTACCCAGATGGTAAACGACCAGCTGGCACTTCGCTGCGCATAGCATGCATCCTTCCTGCAGGGGTGTTTAAGAAAAATGCCGAACTGCAACCATGGCTCCGCTTGCAAAGCCTCCCTGCACATCGAAGGCGGTACCCCCCCCCCCCCCACCCCCCTCCCCCCCTCCCCCCCCCCCTTCTGTCTTGTCGGATCTACGCCTCGAGATGATCACGAAGTGCCTCCAACACCTTGCCGGCACAAAAGCCTGCCAGAAAACCTTGCAGATACCAGCAAGTCTCATGCCGGGAAGTGAACCCCATGAGCGAGGGATTCGGGTGCAGGTTTAGGCTTTGAGGATTTCATTTGGCACTACCGAGTTTTTTCTTTGGGGGTGGGGGGGGGGTGGGGTGCATATTCCTCTTAATCTTTCGAGTTTTCGAAATCAAGGAACCCCAATTAATACCAAGTTGAATCTGGGTAGATGGTGCAGGGCTCCCCAAACCCTAAACCCTACGCCCTAAGCCCTAAACCCTAAACCCTAAACCTTTCCTGCCTCTGCGAGGACCTGAGCCTACTGGTGGAGGAAGGTGTCCCAATTGAGCCGTACATACTCATGACACTTGGTCTTGGGTTTAGGGATGCTCAAAGTGTCGGGATTCAGGGTTCGCATGCTCTGCATCGACCCTAACCCCTAAACCCCAAACCCTAAACCCCAAATCCTAAACCCTAAACCCTAAACCCCAAACCCTAAACCCTAAACCCTACTCTTTTTCAACAACTCCCGCAAGCGGACTTGCCTAGCAGGCCGTCGAGTCATGTTTGGGCCATTCTCGGGAGGACCCCAAAACCCCCAAACCCCCCAAACCCCCAAACGCCCCAAACCCCCAAAACCCCCAAGACCCCAAAACCCCAAAACCCCCCAAAACCCCCCCAAACCCTTCCAAAACCCCCAAAACCCCCCAAAACCCAAAACCTCACACCCTAAGCCCGGAAACCCTACACCCCAAACCCCAAAGACACCACACCCTAAGCCCTGAAGCCCCGAAGCATGGACCACCAAAAGCAGCCCAGGACGGGGGTGGCTTCGGAAGTTCAAGACAGGCGCGGTGGGTGGGGGGATGGGTTGAGGGTTGAGGGTTGAGGGTTGAGGGTTGAGGGTTGAGGGTTGAGGGTTGAGGGTTGAGGGTTGAGGGTTCAGGGTTCAGGGTTCAGGGTTCAGGGTTCAGGGTTCAGGGTTTAGGGTGCACAGAGGTTCTGATAGGGTTTAGAAGGTATAGAGTGGTGTTAGGGTTCAGGTTTCAGGGTGCAAAAAAGGGCCGAAAGAGTTTAGGACACGGTTTCGGTATGGGGCTAGGCTTTCGGGTTTACTGTTTGATGCAGGGTTTGGGGTTTGTGGGGTTTACAGGGTTTATGGGGTTACATAGCATGCTTTTTCTACGGCTTCTATCCAGCTTCAAGGCCGACGAAAACCGAGATCCTAAAACCCGAAGCCCTGAACTCCCTAAACTCCCTAAACCCCCTAACTCCCTAAACCCGAAACCCTATATTCCCCAAACCCGGCTGAATGCATATAGATCTCAAGCAGTTGTCAGCGCCGAAGGTGGCAACCGTCGGGCACCGATCGGGAGAATCCTGTCTGGGAGGATGCCCGTGAACTCTTCTTGGATCTTCAAGGCGGGTCAGGGTTTAAGGTTTTGGTTTAGGGTTTAGGGTTTAAGGTTTAGGGTTTAGGGTTCAGGGTATAGGGTTTAGGGTTTCGATTCCAGGTTTTCGGGTTCAAGGCCTTGCGGGCGTTAATGGCTCTTAAAGTATATTTATGAAGGGACCGAGCCCTGTATGAGGGCAATGAAGGTGTGGTGTAGGCTCGAAGGTCGAAATTTTGAGCAGAAACCCTGAGCACAAAAACCGCAGAACCCGAAAACCGTAAACCCTAAAGCCCTAAAACCCCAAAAAACCCCCCAAAAGCCCAAAACAACCAAACAGAAACAGAAACGGCAAAAAACATCCCTAGACTTCTAAACCCCAAAACCCTAAACCCCTAAAGCCCTAAAACGCCCAAACCCTAAGAACCCTGAAAACCCAAGAGCCCAAAAACCAAAAACAAACGCAGAAAACCCAAAAACACCCAGAAAAGCCAAACAAAAACCTAAAACCCTAAAACCCTAGACCCTAAACCCTAAACCCTAAACCCTAAACCCTAAACCCTAAACCCTAAACCCTAAACCCTAAACCCTAAACCCTAAACCCTAAACCCTAAACCCTAAACCCTAAACCCTAAAACCCTAGATCTCAAAATGTGAGCTCCGGCGTTGGAAATGGGAGGCTACACCGTGGAGGTGTGGAGCACTTCGAAGGATGGAGGAGGCCAGGGTTTAGGGTTTAGGGTTTAGGGTTTAGGGTTTAGGGTTTAGGGTTTAGGGTTTAGGGTTTAGGGTTTAGGGTTTAGGGTTTAGGGTTTAGGGTTTAGGGTTTAGGGTTTAGGGTTTAGGGTTTAGGGTTTAGGGTTTAGGGTTTAGGGTTTAGGGTTTAGGGTTTAGGGTTTAGGGTTTAGGGCTTAGGGCTTAGGGCGTTTAGGATTTAGGGTTTAGGGTTTGGGGTTTAGGGTTTAGGGTTTAGGGCGTTTGGGGTTTAGGGTTTAGGGTTCAGTGGGTTTCTTCTGCCTTGGGCTATTGAGGCTTATAGGCTTATAGGGCTTATGGGGCTAAATTAGGGGGGGGGGGGGGGGCTCAGGGCTTCTAGTAAGGGCTTTTTCGGGTTTACAGGGGCTCATAGGGCTCATAGGGCTCATAGGGCTCATAGGGCTCATAGGGCTCATAGGGCTCATAGGGCTCATAGGGCTCATAGGGGTTGAGAAGGCCGGGCATTTTTTTTTTAGCTGCACCTGGGGTTTAGGGAGCTCAGGCCCCTGCATGCTTTGAGGGTTTTGTGTCAGAGGGTCCGGGATGGGGGCTTTCATGCTTTAGAGGCAAGGCTGAGGGATTGACAGTTGGAGATTCAGGGTTTGGGGTTGCTATAGGGGATTTCGTAGGAGCTGAGTGTTGAAGCCGAGCTTCCTAAGCCCCATGCCCTAAACCCTGAACCCACCAGCCTTGACCCCAAATGAGTGTCGTTCCCTTAAAGTCAGAACCCGAAAGCCCCAGACCCTAAACCCCAAACCCTAAACCCCAAACCCTAAACCCCAAACCCTAAACCCCAAACCCTAAACCCCCAAACCCTAAACCTTCAATCGTAGCTCAAGGAGATCGCCTCTTGGGCGACTCGCTCTTCCTGCCGGCCCCGGGGCCGGGGGCCGAGGCCCCGAACTGCCAGGGCTTAGGGTTTTAGGATTGAGGGTTTAAGGGTTTTAGGATTGAGGGTTTAAGGGTTTTAGGGCTTTAGGCTTTAGGGTTTTAGGGTTTTAGGGTTTTAGGGTTTTAGGGTTTTAGGGCTTTAGGGTTTTAGGGTTTTAGGGTTTTAGGGTTTTAGGGTTTTAGGGTTTTAGGGTTTTAGGGTTTTAGGGTTTAGGGTTGGGGTTTACGTAGTTATGGTTCGTACGACGCGTGGAGTCCTTGCTGAACCTCCTTTGCTGAGGTTCGGGTTTCAATTGTTGTTATGCTAGGTATGATATGCAAAAGGAGATGTCTACGTTCTCGCCCAAACAAATTGAAAAGGCGGAAGCACAGCCACAAGAAGGGGCCCAAATGCATATTCCGACAAAGCATGCATGAAGGGGCCTGCACGTCTACTTTTCGTCCTCTAATTGAAGTGACAGGTCGGCGAGCTTTAGGGTTCAGGGTTCAGGGTTCAGGGTTTGGGGTTTAGGGTTTAGGGTTTAGGGGGTTTAGGGAGTTTAGGGTTTAGGGTTTGGGTTTTCGTCGAGCTTGGATCCTGAATCTGCAAGTTTGCCGTTCAGGGAGTGTAGGGTTCCGGGTTTAGGGCTTCGTGGTTGAGGCTAAGGGGCCAAATCCTGAACCCCTAAACCCCTAAACCCCTAAACCCCTAAACCCCTAAACCCCTAAACCCCTAAACCCCTAAACCCCTAAACCCCTAAACCCCTAAACCCCTAAACCTAAACCCCTAAACCCCTAAACCCCTAAACCCCTAAACCCCTAAACCCCTAAACCCCTAAACCCCTAAACCCCTAAACCCCTAAACCCCCCAACCCCTAAACCCCTAAACCCCTAAACCCCTAAACCCTCAACTGTGTGGCCTTGCGGTTCCGGTGCCTTTGGCCTGGCTATCTGGTGGGGCACGTGGTACTGTGAGCTCTGTGAAACGATGAAGCCCTAAACCCCCCGAAACGCTTAGACCCGAAAGCCCTAGCCCTAAACCCTAAACCCTAAACCCTAAACCCTAAACCCTAAACCCTAAACCCGAAACCCTAAACCCTAAACCCTAAACCCTAAACCCTAAACCCTAAACCCTAAACCCTAAACCCTAAACCCTAAGCCCTAAGCCCTAAACCCTAAACCCTAAACCCTAATCCAAAAACCCTTAAACCCTCAAACCTTAAACCCTAACTGACACGTCACATTTGGGTGGAGCCCCACTGCCCTCCGTGCAGGCGACTCTCGACCTGCTGGGTGCAAGAGGCGCGAGCCGCCCAAAAAACAAGAAGAATGGGCGAGTTTAGGGTTTAGGGTTTAGGTTTTAGGGTTTAGGGTTTAGGGTTTAGGGTTTAGGTTTTAGGGTTTAGGGTTTAGGGTTTAGGGTTTATGGGTACCCCCAAATATGAGGCGCCGCCTTGAAAATAGTCACCTCAAAGGGGCCAGAATTTAGAGACACCATGGTATGTATAACTCCTGCGCGCGCCTAGAGCCTCCAAAGCACCCAAGAACAATGCGGCCTAAAAGACCCTAACGGCCCCCAAGGGCCCCTAAAGCATCTTCTGTTCCCAACATCGCCAACACGACCTAACACCCCGTGCAGCCTGCTCAGGAGGCTCAGGAGCTTTAGGGTTTTGGGTTTCGGGTTGAGGGACTTCGGGGTTACGGCCAAGCGATCTTAGGAGTTCCGAGGGGTTTCTTTAAGATCCTGTGATCGGGGGGCTCTTCGGCAGCAGAAGTCGGGGCTCTGGCTTTGCTTTGCTTTGGTGGTGGAATCTAGGATTCCGGCAAGAGATGTCCAATGGCCAGGGTTTGGGGTTCGGTAGGGTTTGAGGGTTTGGGGTTTGAGGGTTTGGGTTCAGGGTTTGGGGTTGAGGGTTCAGGGTCTTAAGGCTTTGTAGGGTTTCTTGCCTACAAACCTTTTCTTACTGCGCGGCAGTTTTCTTGGGGAGAACCCAAGCTTGCAAGAAGCCCGCAGCCTAAAACCCCAAAACCCTAGACCCTAAAGCCCTAAACCCGAAAGCCCTACACCCGAAACCCTAAACCCTAGACCCTAAACCCCAAAGCCTAAACCCTAAACCCTAGACCGTAAACCATAAACCCTGAACCCCAAACCCACCAGCAGGCACATCTCGACTGCAGATTGCCTACAGCGTGCAAGCGAACGGACCAGGCATTTTTTTCGTGAAAATTAGAGTCGGCCCGGGTTTTGGGTTTAGGGTTTGGGTTTGGGGTTTAGGGTTTAGGGTGTAGGGTTTAGGGTTTAGGGTTTGGGGTTTGGGGTTTGGGGTTTGGGTTTAGGGTTGACGGTTTGGGGTTTGGGGTTTGGGGTTTCTGGGAGTCTTGGCGTGTCGGACTCCTGAACCAACCTAAGACGGAAGCCCTACACTGTGTGCCCCAAACCCTGCCCTTCTGAACCCTTCAACCCCTCAGAACCCCTCAACCCAAAACCGCAAACTTCCAGAATCCGCAGAGTTTTGGGGGTTGGGGATGAGGGACGCTCTGGTGGGGTCTGGTGCGTTGTAGCTCGAGTCCTTGGGAGCTTGGGATGTTCCGTTCCAGCGTCCTCGAGAAACCCCTCAAATCCCTACACCCGTGGAAACCCCCTGAGGCCCCTGAACCCTACATCCCTGAAACCCCTAAAGCCCTAAACCGTAAACCCTGAACCCTGAATTCCTGAAACCCCTAAACCCTCAACCCCTTAACCGGGGCCTTGAAATGCAAAGGCAGTTGGGGGCTGAGGGCTCAGGTTCTACGGGCTTAGGGTCTTGGGGTTTAGGGTCTAGGGTTGAAGGGTTTCAGGGGTTCAGGGTTTAATTAGGGGTTTAGGGTTTAGGGTGTTGAGGGTTTTGAGGGTTTGGAGGGTTTTGAGGGTTTTGAGGGTTTTGGGGTTTCAGTGCTTCGGTGTTTGGAGCCATGTGGCCCACTATGTCAGCTTGTTTTGCTATCCCTAAACCCTAAACCCTAAACCCGAAACCCCTAAACCCTAAATCCCTAAACCCTAAACCCTCAAACCCCGTAAGCAGCCAAAACCTCCACCCTGAACGACTTCGCGAGGCGCGTCTCCTCCGCGGGTGGTGCGGAAGGACGGACAGAACCTCTCCGACATGAAAGGCTTTACACCCTAAACCCTAAACCCCAAGCCCCAAACCCTAAACCGTAAACTATAAACCCCAAACCCTAAACCCCAAACCCTAAACCCTAAACCCCAAACCCTAAGCCTTGAGCCTTAAACACCCTAAACACCCGAAGCAGGAGATCCGCTCGATGCCACAAGCTGAGCAGCAGCGCTTCCTTGCGGCCCTCCAGAAGCTCATGGAGAACAAGGAATGTCAAGAGGTTTAGGGTTTAGGGTTTAGGGTTTAGGGTTTAGGGCTTAGGGTTTAGGGTTTGCAGTTTAGGGTTTACAGGTTAGGGTTTAGTGTTTCGTTTACCCTTGAGCCCTAAAGGGCTAAACGCCCAAAGTCAAATTCAACCCCCCACATTTCCCTCAATACCAATGGAGGGCAGAAAGTGCTTGCCCTAGAGCTGTGGGCAGAAAGTGCTTGCCCTAAACCCGAAACCCTAAACCCTAAAACTCTAAGACTCTAAAACTCTAAAACCCTAAACCCTAAACCCTAAACCCTAAACCCTAAACCCTCGGAGAGGATGGGCCTCAGACCTCCGAATGGTTCCGCCTGGCCGCCTATCATGGCTGGCCGGAGGACTACTGCCAGCATGGTCGGCGGCCCCAGAGCCTGAAGCCCTAAGCCCTAAGCCCTAAGCCCTAACCCCTAAACCCTAACCCCCAAAACCCTAAAACCTAAACCCTAAACCCTAAGCCCTAAACCCTACACCCTAAACCCTAAACCCTCAAGACCAGGATAAGTAGAACTTGCATGTGGTATCGTCGTGAATATCCCACGTTATTTGTCTGTCTAAATGAATTTCAAAGCGCCTTCGGAAGGCCAAATATTCAATTCACTTAAACCTATGGGTTCCAAGTTATTTGTCTAAACAGCTGACAAGCAGAGCTTAAGTACATTCATCCAATCCCAAAAGCACACCAGCCCTCGCCGCCAGCAGCCGCCTGGCCCTCTAGCCAGCCGTCCGAGCCCTCCCAACCCAGCCCCACCCCAGCCCTCAGCCCCTAGCCCCAGCCCCGGCCCCATCCCCAGCCTAGCCCCAGCCTCAGCCCCCCAGCCCCAGCTCCAGCCCCAGCCCCAAGTCCAAAAGAAAAAAACTTCGGACAGCAAAAAAGAACACTTTCGCCCAGCACTTTCGCCCCTAAACCCTAAACCCTAAACCCTAAACCCTAAACCCTAAACCCTAAACCCTAAACCCTAAACCCTAAACCCTAAACCCTAAACCCTAAACCCTAAACCCTAAACCCTAAACCCTAAACCCTAAACCCTAAAAACCCTAAACCTAAACCCTAACCCTAAACCCTAAACCCTAAACCTAACCCTAACCCCTAAACCCTAAACCCTAGGGTTTAGGGTTTAGGGTTTAGGGTTTAGGGTTTTAGGGTTTAGGGGTTTAGGGTTTAGGGTTTAGGGTTTACGGTTTAGGGTTTAGGGTTTAGGGTTCGGGGTTTAGGGTTGCGGGTAACTTGGGACCCAGGGCCTAAACCGGACACTTGAAGCGAAGCACTCAGGTCAGGAGACTTTTCCGGGGTGGCACCGCGCCTACCTTTGCGAAGTGGAGCAGGCCTTGATCAAGGCCGGTCCCCCTAAACCCTAAACCCCAAACCCCAAACCCCAAACCTTAAACCCTAAACCCTAACCCCTAAACCCCAAACCCCAAACCCCAAACCCCAAACCCCAAACCCTAAACCCTAAACCCTAAACCCTAAACCCTAAGCCGTAAACACGCTTTTCAAAGATTTGCCATGCTCGAACCGCGTTGCCCAAGGCGGACAAGGAGCTGGGAAATGATGGCAGGACCGGTTTAGGGTTTAGGGTTGGGGGGGGCCTAAACCCTAAACCCTAAACCCTAAAACCTAAACCCTAAACCCTAAACCCTAAACCCTAAACCCTAAACCCTAAACCCTAAACCCTAAACCCTAAACCCTAAACCCTAAACCCTAAACCCTAAACCCTAAACCCTAAACCCTAAACCCTAAACCCAACTTGTTTGTTGGTTTAGGCTTAGGCTGTGTTGCGCAAGAGCGCAAAGGGGTTGACCTAAGAATCCCATCGTCTGCAAGGCCGATGATTGGAGGAAATGCGCATCGCGCAGGGCCAACAAGTTCTCCACACAGTGGTTTGGGGTTTAGGGTTTAGGGTTTAGGGTTTAGGGTTTAGGGTTTAGGGTTTAGGGGGCTATAGGCTGCCATAGGCTGTTCAGTGCGCTGAGTGATGTGTAGTCTCTCCACAGCAAATTCTGTACAGGAGCGTCCGCGCTGGGGTGATGTGTAGTTGTAGCTTGGTGCCCGGGGCGCTGAACCCTGGACCATCTACCGGGTTTACGGGAACCCAAAACCCTAAACCTAAACCCGAAACCCGAAACCCTAAACCCTAAACCCGAAACCCTAAACCCGAAACCCGAAACCCTAAACCCTGAACCCTAAACCCGAAACCACCTCGGAGGATTGGGCTGCCATACTGGGACTGGTCGAAGCTGGAGGTGAATGGGGAGGTATTGCCGCTCGCCTGCGGAGCCCTGGAACCTTAAACCCTGAACCCCTAAAGCCCTAAAACCCTAAACCCTAAACCCTAAACCCCAAGGCTCTAAACCTAAACTCACGCCTTTGTCGTTTAGGGGCTTTCGGATTCATGGCCTCTCATGGGACTCTACCTTGGACCCCCGAGGTTGCGCCCCTCTGAAGGAATCTAACACACAAAGGAGTACATTAAGGGAATTAGGGTTTAGGGTTTAGGGTTTAGGGTTTAGGGTTTAGGGTACATCCTTAGGGGTCCCAGTTAGATATCCTTGAGCCTCAGTTATTCAGGGGGTTTTGGGTTGAGGGTCAGGGGCAAAAACGCTTTGCGCTGGAGCCACAAGAAAAGCTTCAGCCAGTGCATGTGGGGACTCCTGGGCCCCAGACAGGGGTTTAGGGTTTAGGGTTTAGGGTTTAGGGTTTAGGGTTTAGGGTTTAGGGTTTAGGGTTTAGGGTTTAGGGTTTAGGGTTTAGGGTTTAGGGGACTAGGAGTGGGGGGCGGGTTTAGGCTGCTTAGAGTAGGGAAATGATGTGACTTCGGGTTTGGTGCTTCAGAGTTCGGTGTTGTAAGACGGTTTGGTGGGGTTTCAAGCTTAGGGGCTGAGGGCGTTTTTGGGCGGTGTTTGGTTGAGGGGTCGGTTGAGGGTTTCGACGACTTGAGGGACCCTTACCCGTAAGCCCTAAACCCTGAACTCTATAGGGTTCTTATAAGCCCTAAACCCAAAACGTAAAGGCCCAAGATCATCCGGGAGAACTTCGCGGAGATACCGGCGGGCCTGGTGAATCCGTCCGAGGTGCGGCAGAACCTGCGGCACACGTCGACCGAAACCCTAAACCACAGCAAGCCTCGTTCATCCCTAGACCCCGTTCATCCCTAGACCCTAGACCAGGAGGTTCCCCCGGAACAAAGAAACTAAACCCTTAGACGCTTCAACCTTCAAGCCTAAACCCTATACCCCCGAACCCTAAGCCCTAAACCCTCAGCCCCAAACCCCAAACCCCAAACCCCAAACCCCAAACCCCAAACCCCAGACCCCAAACCCCAAACCCCAAACCCCAAACCCCAAACCCCGTACCCTAAACCCTAAACCCAAAACCCTAAACCCAAAACCCTAAACCCTCAACCCTAAACCCTAAACCCTAAACCCTAAACCCTAAACCCTAAACCCTAAACCCCAAGCCAGGCCGGCGAGCTTGCCCGGCGGGGCTTTTCCGACCTCAGCTCGGACGACCGCCTCAGGCGCAATCACTGTTGGGGCGTTTTGCAGGATTTGGGGTATTTATGGTGTAGGGTTTAGGGTTTAGGTACCCTGCACCCTAAGCCCTAAACTTTCATCCCTAAACCCCTAAACCTCAAACCTGAGGGCTAGGAGGAGACTTGGGCTGCTTTCTTCCACGGACGGGTTCAGAATTTTAGGGCCTAGGGTTTAGGGTTTAGGGTTTAGGGTTTAGGGTTCAGGGTCCACATATGGTGTAGCTAGGGTTGAAGGCCTGGGGTTGACAAAGATTTCTAGGGCCCTTGTTCCCTTTGTTTTTTGGAGTAGGTTCCCTTATAAGGTTCCCTTAAAAGGTTCCCTTATAAGGTTCCCTTATAAGGTTCCCTCATAAGCCCCTTTAAGGCGTACCCGTTCTATTCCGATGTTGCTTTTGGGTCTAGATTCGGATTTTTTTATTGGCAGCTGTGCCAGATGTACGCATCGTTGGAGGGTCTCGGAGATGTTGGGGGCCTTTCAGGGGTACAGGCATTATACACTTTGGGCTGTAGGCCTGGGGGGCTCAGCTTCAAAGGTTTAGGGTTTAGGGTTTAGGGTTTGGGGTTTAGGGCTTAGGGTTTAGGGCTTAGGGCTTAGGGTTTGGGGCTTGGGGCTTGGGGCGGGGGATGGGGGTACCTGAGTCCATAAGAGGAAGGGGATGGCTCTTGCGTTCAAGCCCCAGGCAGCAGCTGATCTCCATGCAGGCGCGCGGCAGAATTTTCAACGGTTCAGGGTTTAGGGTTAGGGTTGAGGGTTTAGGGTTTAGGGTTTAGGGTTTCGGGTTTAGGGTTTAGGGCTTAGGGTTTAGGGTTTAGGGGTTCGAGCTCGGGGGGTTGAACTGGGTCCTGATATCTCTATGTTGCTGCGGAAGGGACAAGGGCGCCTGGGAGGAGTGGTTCACTTCTTTTTGATTTGCTGTCTCATCGAACTTCGCTACTCAAACCTCCGAAAACTCAAGGCCCCTAGACCACGGCCCTAAGCCAAAAACCCTAAACCCTAGGCCCAACGAAGCTGGCGTGAATTGTGTGTGTGTGTGTGCGCACCCCTAGTAAACCTGTACTCCCTACAGCCCATAGCCAAATAAGCCAGAAACCCTGACACACACACATGAGCATCCTATACGGAACCCTCCAATACAGGGGTCGGAATAATGACTAACATTTCCCCTTATGATTCCTGACAATTATACGATATTAACCCCCAAACCCTTATTCTAATTACTAAGGCCCCTAAGCCCTAAACCCTAAACCCTAAACCCTTAGCCCCAAGCCCTAAACCCCATATTAAGCCCTAAGTTCAGACCCCTTAGAGGTCGCCCGGGCAGCTGAGCAGTGCCTCACGGAGAACGAGCATTGGCTGCATGCCTCCACGCGGGGGAGAGGCTGGCCGACTGTAGGGTTTAGCGAACAGGGGTTTAGGGTTTAGGGTTTAGGGTTTAGGGTTTAGGGTTTAGGATTTAGGGTTTAGGGTTTAGGGTAAACCCTAAACCCTAAACCCTTGTTCCCTTTCGAGCCCTTTTGTGACAAGGTTGGGTTCCTTATGAACGCGTGGGTGGGTGTTAAATCTGAGCCGTAAATACAGCTTTACCATGAACCTGCTCGACCTCAAACCCTAACCCTAAACCCTAAACCCTAAACCCTAAACCCTAAACCCTAAACCCTAAACCCTAAACCCTAAACCCTAAACCCTAAACCCTAAACCCTAAACCCTAAACCCTAAACCCTAAACCCTAAACCCTAAACCCTAAACCCTAAACCCTAAACCCTAAACCCCAAACCCTAAACCCCAAAAACCCTAAAACCCTACACCCCAAAACCCCTAAGGCTTCGTATGTTACTGCTATGGCTTCTGCACTAAACCCTAAACCCACCCTAAACCCTAAACCCTAACCCTAAACCTAAACCCTAAACCCTAAACCCTAAAACCCTAACCCTAAACCCTAAACCCTAAAACCCTAAACCCTAAACCCTAAACCCTAAACCCTAAACCCTAAACCCTAAACCCTAAACCCTAAACCCTAAACCCTAAACCCTAAACCCTAAACCCTAAACCCTAAACCCTAAACCCTAAACCCTAAACCCTAAACCCTAAACCCTAACCCCTAAACCCTAAACCCTAAACCCTAAACCCTAAACCCTGACCCTAAACCCTAAACCCTAAGCCCAAAGCCCTAAAGGGTTGGGACGCACGGCAGGCTTCTCCGTGGAGCATCCTCACAACAGCGTCCACGTGGCACCCAGGGCCTTGATGAGTTTTTTTTAGCGGGTTTAGGGTTTAGGGTTTAGGGTTTAGGGTTTAGGGTTTAGGGTTTAGGGTTTAGGGTTTAGGGTTTAGGGTTTAGGGTTTAGGGTTTAGGGTTTAGGGTTTAGGGTTGAAGTCCCCGACCGAGTAGTACATGACATTTCGGGCCCTGGAGCTGGCAGAAGCAGTGGCAGGCCGTAAGAGGCAGAGCTTGATTCGTTGTGCAGTTCCTGTTATGGTTTAGGGTTTAGGGTTTAGGGTGCATGGTCTCATGACATGTTCAGGTAACCAGCAGTCCGCAGTATGTGGCTCCAGTACCAGCGCTACAATGCTCTGGCACACGTAGCACTTGTGGGGGCATGCTTCATGGACTCGACACCAGGCCAAGAGAGACTTGTCCATGCCCTCCCTCTATGAGGCCCTGCGAGTGAGCAATTCTGCTGCAGAGGGAGAAGTGCGCTCTGCTTACCGGCGACAGGCGCTAGCAACCCACCCAGACAAGGGTGGAACGCCAGAGGCTTTCAGGCTTGTGGTCGCTGCTTTTGAGACCCTCACGGATCCAGTGCGTCGGGCAGCATATGACCAGCAGTTGGCGCGCAAAGCCGCGCTGGAGACACGGCGAGGCGACATGAATGGCCCCAGCCAGGGTTCCAAGCCGACGAAGAGGCCAAGGGACCAAGGCGAACGGAGGGAACCAAAGAAGGCAAGGGGCCATGACGTGAGGGCGGCGGACAATGCTGCGGCAAGTTCTCCTGGAGCTGAGCAAAGTCCTCAAGACCCCAGCCACAAAACAGGCACGGAGAAGCTGCCGGAGCAGCCACCGCAGGATAGCCGAGGCTTTGCACTTCGGGTTCAAGAGCTGCTTGGGTTATCGCAAGGAGCACTTCGGGCCCGCGTCAAGCGCATGTCGGAGGAGTTCTTGCGAGATCTGCTGAAAGCCCTGGAGTGCTATGAGAAGGGCGCAGTGCAAGTAGCCGGCGCATGCAGTTCTGATAGCAGCACACAGGCATCTGACAGCGAAGCAGAGCCATCTGAGGAAGCGGAGCCCATGCTGGCCATCTGCCATGTACCTTCAGGCGCGCCTGAAGAGGATGGTGAGGATGCGAACGAGGGAGCCGTGGGTGAGAAGAGTAAAGAGCAAGGCAGTGAGAGAAAGCTTCTGCGGGGCATCTGTAGGAACAAGAGGGACTGTTCCTATCAGGCAAGTGTGGGTTTCAAGGGTGTTGGGGCATACTCGCAAAGTAGTGTGGATCTGCACAAGATCATCGACATGCATATCAGCATGGTACGAATGCGACAGCGTTTCTACGAGCACTTGGCTGCTGGCCATGGCTTCAAAGAGGCCCTCAGTGATGCGGTCGCTGAGATGCATTCTGCCCGTGCCGCTTCGGAGGCTCCGGCCATCCGCTTGCGCTTCCGCTGCAGCCGCACGACAAAGAGCAGCAATCGAAGGCTGGACTTGGAGGAGGTCGTTCCCATCTGGGAGTCTGAACAGGCAGCGCTTGTTGCTGCTCGCGAGGAGCGTCAGCGGCGAAGAAGCGAGATGCAAGCAGAAGACCGGCGCAAGCAGGAGGAGCGTGAGGAGCAAGCGCGACAGCGTGCGAAAGAGCACAAAGAGAGAAAGGAGGACAGGCTGCGCAGGGCCGAGGAGAGGCGGAGGACCCAAGAAGCCAGACGACGAGTGCGAGAAGAGCAGGCCGAGGCCAGGGCGCAGCGCAGGGCCGCAGCCAGGGAAGGCAAGTTGGAGTTCCTGCGCCATCTTCTGCAGGGCCACCTGCAGCGTGTCTGCACGCAGCGCGAGCGCGCGCTGCAGAAGGCCTGGGGGGTGAAGGTCCTTCCTGAGGGAGTGGCTTTGGCAGACCTGGAGGTCCCAGGCCTCCGGGACTGCGTCCGAGCTGAGCTCTACCTCAAAGATGGAAAGCTCTGCAGCGGCCCACTCCGAAAGGAGCTCTCGTTGGCCAAGAAGGACTTCAAGGAGCTGTCCGCCATCCAGCGCCAGAAGGGCGACGGGGCACTGGAAGCGGAGGTCCAACGGAGGGAGCTGGATGCCATGACCGCCTTCTTTGTGGCCGGCGTGTAGCCCCGGCCATGGTTCTGGGCATTGGTTCTGGGCATGAACACATCTCTGGAGCATCGACAAGTCGTTGCTGCGGATCTTGGCGCAGAAAAGAGTCTTGGCACAGCTCGAATAAACAGCTCAGTGCGCAGGATTTTGCCCCAGAGAGTTAGTTTTCAAAGTTCTTGGCTAGGGAATTAGGGTTTAGGGTTTGCCTGCCTTAGGCTTTTGGCTCCAGGGTATATGGGCTCCAGGTTTGGGGTTCCCAGTTTCATGGCGAAAGCCCTGGACGGTCTTGGGGTCAAACTCTGCAGTCTCTCAAACCCCCAAGAGCCCACAAACCCTAAACCCTAAACCCTAAACCCTAAACCCTAAACCCTAAACCCTAAACCCTAAACAACCCCAAGGCCCTAACACTCTAGCATCCCCAAAGCGCAAGATCCAAAACCCCAAAGCCCCAAAAACCCAAAAACCCTAAAACCCTAAACCCCAAAAACCCTAAACCCTAAACCCCAAAACCCTAAACCCTAAACCCTACACCCTACACCCTACACCCTAAACCCTAAACCCCCCCCCAAAAAAACCGCAAGAGCCGCGCGCGCAGCTTCTCAGGCCCGCCAGGCTACCCCCCACCCCCCTCTGGGTGCTCGACACCCCAACCATTCAGGGCTTCGGGTTTTGTGTTCAGGGGGTTCCCACCCTAAACCTTGAGCCCCAAGCCCTAACCCTAAGCCTTAAGCCCTAAGCCCTAAACCCTTATCCCGACACCCTAAACCCCAGACCCCAAACAGCAAACCCTCGACCCTCCAGGCATGTGGGTTTCCCATGTCCACGGTCCCCTACGCGGCCTTCCATCCCATCTTCTTCTTGCACCACTCGAACTGCGATCGTATCTATGAGAAGCATGCGCCTTGGGATGCGGACTAAGGGCTTGAGGGCTTGTGAACTTAAAGCTTTTCGGATCGGTATTCTTTTTGTTCTCGCGCGCTCTGTGTGTGTGTGTGTCCCTAACTCCAAAGCCCAAAGCCGTAAGCCCTAAACCCCAAACCCCAAGCCCCAAACCCTAAACCCTAAACCCTACGCCAACCCTGCATGTGCTCTCTCTTGTTGGGGGGGGGGGGGGAAATGTGGCGGCTTGGTTGAATCGTCGTTCGATGACAAGGGGGGAAACCTTGAGTCTAAAGTTTAGGGTTTGCCCTGACCCCTAAGCCCCCTAAACCCTAAACCCGAAGCCCCCTAAACCCTGAACCCTAAACCCTAATCCCTGAACCTTAAACCCTAAACCCTAAACCCTAAACCCTAAACCCTAAACCCTAAACCCTAAACCCTAAACCCTAAACCCTAAACCCTAAACCCTAAACCCTAAATCCTAAATCCTAGAATACAATGCCCTAAAGCCCGGAAGCCCTAAAGCACTAAAGCCCCTTCGAGAGACCCCAAGTCTGACGAAGGTGCAGCTCGAGACCCCCGAGGAGTGCGCAGCCTGGCAGAAAAAACTGCAGTGAAGAATGAAAAGGGTTCAGGGTTTGGGGTTTCTAAGGATTTAGGGTGTAGGGTTTGGGGTTTGGGGTTTGGGGTTTTTCGAGTTTAGGGTTTAGGGTTTGGGGTTTAGGGTTTCGGGGTTTTGGGTTTGGGTTTGGAGCTGGGGGTTTGGAGCTGAGGGTTTGGGATTTAGGGTCTAGGGTTTAGGGCTTGGGGCCACCCGACCCCTCGAAGTATGAGCCCATATGCCTCCGACCATCATCCTACTCTTCTTGCAAGGGCAGGGTGAAGGGGGCTTAGAGTGTCTAGGGCTTTTAGGTGCTTAGGGGTTTGGGCACCCTCAGCTGCCCACGCATCATAAGGCCTCGGAGTTCGCTCTCCGGCAGCAGGCCCTTGCGCAACAGGGCGAGGTGGCGAAGCCCGCAGTGGAAGGGTGCGTCCCGGTGTCCCCAAAATTCCGAAACCTCGGAATCCGGATCTCGAACCTTAAGCCCTAAACCCTACACCTTCAACCCTAAACCCTCAACCCTAAAGCCTATAGACCCTAAACCCTGAACCCCGACACCTCCAAACCGAAAAGCCCCTAAACCCATGAGCCCTTTAAACCTCAAGTGAAGTCACGCCATGCCTTGCGAGGGAGTTGCGTTGTACGGGGGTTTAGGGTTTAGGGTTTAGGGTTTAGGGTTTAGGGTTTAGGGTTTAGGGTTTAGGGTTTAGGCTACAGGGTTGAGGGAGGGAACGGGTGGGGTGGTTGGGTGGTATCTGTAATTTGTGTGCCGAAAGCCTACTTTGCAAGGTTATGGCTTTGGGTTTTTTGTTTTCGAGTTCGGGTGATGTCGGCTTTGGGTCTGAGGGCTCTGGGTTTACTTCAGATCCCCAAACCCAACCAAACCCAAAACCCGACTCCCTAACCCCTATAAACCCCTCCCCCAAGCCCCCCCCTCCCCCCCCCCGCCGGCCCTCCCTCCGCGCTCCCTCCCCCAAACCCTTAACCCTAAAGCCGAAACCCTATATAAACCCCAAACCCTTCACCCTGTCGGCGATCCCCACCAGCCAAGGCGAATCGCTTTCTTCGGCCCCTGGAACCTTTCATGCACCCTTTTCCTCCGGAGAGGCTCTGGGGCTTAGGGGCTTAGGGCTTGATGGTGTAGGAGTTTCCGGTTTTGGGCGTGTCAGGTACTCCTTGTTGCGTCTCGGCTTTAGAGATCAAGTTTCGGGTTTAGAGTTTACGTTTTTTTGGGGGTAGTTCGAGCCTTTCGGGGCGGTGTTTATGGTCTATATACGCTTTCAAGCGACTTGTTGTCTAAGGCCCTAAGCCCTGAAATCCCCCCATCCCTAAACCCTTAAGCCCGAAATGAACTCGGACCCCTAACCCCCTGCTCTGAACTCCAAACCCTAGGCCCTAAACCCTGAAGGTCCTTTTCGGAACCCTAAACTCTAAACCCTGTAACTGTAACCCTAAACCCCGAACCTGTAACCCTAAACCCTAAGCCCCTTAAAACGAGAACCCCTAAACCCTAGACAAAGCCCTTAGTCCTGTAAGTCTTCTTGGGAAGGGTTCGAGTGTCATCGACCTTGTGCTAGGGCGATGGTCCCGTCGGACACCTTTGATACCAAGGCTCTAGGACTCCTGGCTGCGAGTGGACGGGGAGGTTTAGGGTTTAGGGTTCAGGTTTTGGGGGCTTTTGGGATTTTGGGGGGTTTAGGGGTAGTTTAGGGGGTTTCGGGGGTTTAGGGTTTCAGGGTTTGGGGGCTTTTGGGATTTTGGGGGGTTTAGGGGTGGTTTCGGGGGTTTCGAGGGTTCAGGGGGTTTAGGGTTGAGGAAGGCTTCTTGAGTGTGAAGGTTTCGGGGGGGGGGGGGGGATTCCGCGGCCGAGGCTACGAGTACGACGAGCTGCCGCCAGACCCTCCCCTGCGAATGATGGAGGAGCGCCCTGGGGCCCTAAGACCCTTAAACCCTAAACCCTAAACCCTAAACCCTATACCCTAAACCCTAAACCCTATACCCTAAACCCTAAACCCTATACCCTATACCCTATAAACCCTAACCCTGGGCCCCAAACCTCAAACCATGTTAAGCTCAAGCCTGCCCCGCCTTCGAAAACCTCTGAATCTTAAACCCTGAGCCCTCTAAGCCCTAAGCCCGCGAACCTGCCAGGAGCCGGTCTACGTGGCGTTCCGCAACATCAAGGCCCTGACCTGTCCTGGGATTTCGGGACTGCGGGGCGACCTCGGGCGATTCGAGGGGTTAGGGTGTAGGGTTTAGGGTTTAGGCTGAGTGTCCTTAGTGTTTGTTGCGAAGGAGTTCCCCGAAAGGGGAGCCCAGAGAAACACGGTGGGAGCGTGGCTGTGTTTGGAGCACTTGGGTTTGAGGTTGAGGGTTTAGAGTTTGGGGTTTAGGGTGAGGGGGCGCCCCCAAGAATGTGAGAGCTCAAGTGGTAAGGTAGGGCATACTTGGGGTATACATCTTTGAGGTTTCGGGGCGCCTGTGAAGCTCGTTTCAGGCTCGGGTTTGGGGTTTGGGGCGTAGGGGCTTCCTAAACCAAAAACCCTAAACCTAAACCCTAACTAAACCCAAAACGGTGCGACGAGGTTCTGGAGCTGGATCGGAAGAGCACGACCCTCAGTCACTTTTGCTCCCAGCCAAGCTGCATGCGGTTTCGGGGGTTTAGTCTCGTGGTTTAGGGTTTGGAGTTGAGGGTAGGGGTTTTGGTGGTTAAACGCCCCCTTGGATGCTGAGAAGGCAGGAATCTTCACGAAACCCTACACCCTAAACCCTGAACCCTAAACCCTAAACCCCAAACCCGAAACCCCAAACCCGAAACCCTAAACCCTCAACCTGAACCCCTAAATTGCCCGGACGATCCCAGGCTATGCCCTCCACATCTTTCTGGTGGCCAAAGGCTCAGAGTGGGTGCCACCCAGCCGGCCGAAGGACGGGTTCAAGAGCTAAGACCTAAGCCCTCTAAACCCTATAAACCCTATAAACCCTATAATTGACCCCTATAAACCCTATACCCCCTATAAGGGCTTTAAACTCCATCAACCCCAAAAACCCCATAAACCCTATAAACTGTATAAACCCAAAACCCTAAACGCTGAACCGCTATCCCCCCAAGCCCTTGAGGGTTTAGGGTTTCGGGAACCCCGAACCCCGAACCCCAACCTCGCTATACCCCACATCTCGAGATCTCCTTAACAGCTGCTGCAAGGAGTTCAGGACCCGGCCCAGCTACGCTGGCGCCGGCGCGATCTTTGGAGGGAGGGCCGAGGAGTGTCCCTAGGTCATGAGGATGGCTGGGTGTTTAGGGTTTAGGGTTTAGGGCTTAGGGCTTAGGGTTTAGGGTTTAGGGTTTAGAGTTTAGTAGCTTTTTTCATGTTAATGTTCCAGAAGAGTAGCCAGTACTAGCATATGAGCATATACTGTCCGAGCACCGTGTCGCTGAATATTAGGATGGTGAGGGGTAATCAAGTTTTGGCGGCTTTCGGGGGTGAGCATTGTTCGTGTACGAAGCCCCCAAAGCTGCCACAGGGTTTAGGGTTTAGGGTTTAAGGGTTTAGGACCCCCCGAATCATCACAGGGGTTCGGGGTTAAGTTTCTCTTTGCAAACGCCGGTTGCCCAACTCAGGTCGCAACTGTCGCAGCCGCCCACCCTACGCTGTTATGGTGGAAGTGCAGCAGACGCTACAGGAAGTGAGCCCATCAGGGTTAGGGTTTCAGAGTTTGAGGGTTTGAGGGTTTCAGAGTTTCAGGGTTTCAGGGGTTCAGGGGTTCAGGGTTTCGGGTTTAGGGTCATAAGCCCTCCCTAATCCTCAAGCGCTTGGGTTTCGGGAACCCATCCAGAGCTTGTGTTGCGGGTTTGAGATGGAGTTAGCAACCAAAACAGAAGCAACTCCTTGCCCTGAAACCAGTCATGCACCCACCCCCAAAAGCCCAAAAAAACTATACCCCTAAACCCTTTAACCTACAATTGCCAGTAGGATCCCCCCCTTATCTGTGGCCTAGGCCCAACAGCGAAGCCCAAGAAAGCTGCGCAGGAGATGCGTCTCAGTCGCCACGATGCCCAGGCGCGCGCGCGCTCTCTCGAGAACACGGGCCAACTCACGTTTATCTCAAGAACTTTGGTTCAGGGTTTCGGGGCTTTCGGGTCTGGGGGGCGGCTTCTTTGCTGTTCGCGCCTTGATGTGGGATTGTGACTCCACAAGCACCAGACTCCGAAGCTTGTGGCCACAGTGCTGGCTTCGGGGTCCACGCCTTATGGGCTCGGCTGTCTCTCAAATCATCACTCAAGGAGCTGTCGCACATGCACGGGCTGCGATGTGGACAGGAGCTTCTACGCCCTTAAGTCTAAACCCCTCAACCCTATAAACCTCAGCCCCCCAACCCTAAACCCTGAACCTTCAACCTTAAACCCTCGACTTTTTCTTGGTGCAAGCTGAGAGCCTCGGAAATAAGACCGTACGAAGCATTTTCGGGCGCTTGTTTCCGCCTGGATCGCTGAAGTAACCGGCCCTCGGGGGAATTTAGGGTTTAGGGTTTTGTGGCACCAAGTCTCCACACCATGCGCAACACCCCTCCCCCTCCCTCCTCCCTCCCCCCGCAGATCCAAGTGCTCTGTGAAGATGAACTCGGCGTCCTCCTGCCTTTGGAGACGTGGTGGAGTTTAGGGGCATTTTTTTTTTTTTTTTTGGGGGGGGGGGGTTTGAAAACCCCGCATTTAAAGTTCAGTTTTAATTCTTTTTGTTTCTCCTGGGGTGCCTGGAGGGGTTGAAAAGAGGGAGTTTTGGCGGGGCAGGCTTTGGGGTGTAGGGTTTCGGGTGGATGTAGGCCTCTAGGCAGGGCCCGTTACGACTGAAGCTGGACCGGTTTAGGGTTTCGGGTTGGGATGTTCCCTCTTAAACGAACAGTCCTTATTAGGGACTATAACCGGGGGTTATATCATCCCGATTAAGGACTGTTAGTATAAGGGGGAACACAGGTCTAGGGAGTCGAGGGTATGCACACCTTTGGAGCACAACTCTTCCCTCCCGTGACGCCCCGCTTAGAGTTGTCAGTCTTGCCCCATCTCCAGCCTGTTGGGCGCTACGCCGGGGCTGATCGAGGTCATGGGCTCTTGTTGGAGACCTTATGAAGACATCTAGTGGGAACCCCCGTTAACGGATTCCTTGAGCCCTCGGGTTGTCTGGCTGTAGGGTGCCAAATTATAGGGTTCAGGGTCTGTCATCCCTCTGAGATGTTCTTTAGGATTCCGTGCTCCAAGGAAGAGACCCCTGTACCCCGACCTGCTCCGGACTCAGTGCGACAGGGAGGGGACGGGGAGATACGTCATAAGACTGGTACGAGAGATGGGCCGGGGATAGTTGCGTAGGCATGCATGCATACATACGTGCCATAAGATCGTGAGATACTCGCACGATATGTAGGATGGGTATGCAGATGTATACATACATGCATGCATGCATGCATGCATGCATGCATGCATACATACACACACACACTATTATGTATATCATATGGGTGTGATAGCTCTGATGGGTAGATCTTCGAATCGCAAGTAAGCCAGCACAACTCTGCATCGGATGCAGGACGGATGCCCTGAATCAAGTGAAGGTCCGCGGTGCGTCCACTTTTGGACTCATAGATACCCGGAACCCCAGGCCCGGAAGCCTAAAACCTTCCACCCCCAAACCCCAAACCCAAAACCCCAGGTCGTAAACCCTCAGCTTACAGCCCTAAGCCCTGAACCCTAAACCCTAAACCCTGAACCTTAAACCCTAAACCCTAAACCCTAAACCCTAAACCCTAAACCCTAAACCCTAAACCCTAAACCCGAAACCCTAAACCCTGAACCTTTGCTTTCAAGGTGTTCATGGGTCCGTGGTTCGAGGATCCGGACTCACCACTGGCCCTTGGCACCACCGGCATTGAGGCGCTCCTTTGGGGTAGGGTTTCGGGTTTAGGGTTTAGGGTTTAGGGTTTAGGGTTTAGGGTTTAGGGTTTAGGGTTTAGGGTTTAGGGTTTAGGGTTTAGGGTTTAGGGTTCAGCATCTCAAGTCCGAGCATTTACTAGTCAAGCAGCTTGTCAAGCGTTGGAATAAAACCCCACCCACCCAGGAAACCCATAACATTGAGAAAATACAAAGTTCACTCAATACATTCCCAGTAGGCTTAAAGCTCAAGGTCCAGTTAACCCAAAACCGAAATCAAACCTCTGCTGGATGGGAATAGGGAGGGTTGTGGGGTGGGAACGGGGTGGGGTGGGGGGGGGGGGTGGGGGGGGGGGGGGGGGGGGGGGTTGGGGGGGGTTGGGGGGGGGGGGTGGGGGGGGGTTGGGGGGGGGGTGGGGGGGGGGGTGGGGGGGGGGTGGGGGGGGGTGGGGGGGGGGGGTGGGGGGGGGGTGGGGGGGGGGAGCTGCCGATGAAGGGCGTCAGGGTTTAGGGCCCCCGCCCGGGCAAAAACAACAAGAGGCCGACGAAGGGCGTCAGGGTTTAGGGCCCCCGCCCGGGGAAAAAAACAATATGCCGACGAAGGGCGTCAGGGTTTAGGGCCCCTGCCCGGGGAAAAAAACAATATGCCGACGAAGGGCGTCAGGGTTTTAGGGCCCCCTCCCGGGGAAAAAAACAATATGCCGACGAAGGGCGTCAGGGTTTAGGGCCCCCGCCCGGGGAAAAAAAACAATATGCCGACGAAGGGCGTCAGGGTTTAGGGCCCCGGCCCGGGGAAAAAAAACAATATGCCGACGAAGGGCGTCAGGGTTTAGCGCCCCCGCCCAGGGAAAAAAAACAACATGCCGACGAAGGGCGTCAGGGTTTAGGGCCCCCGCCCGGGGGAAAAAAACAATATGCCGACGAAGGGCGTCAGGGTTTAGGGGGGGAAAAAAAACAACATGCCGACGAAGGGCGTCAGGGTTTAGGGCCCCCGCCCGGGGAAAAAAAACAATATGCCGACGAAGGTCATTAGGGTTTAAATATACATAGTAAGAGAGGGTTTAGGGTTTAGGGTTTAGGGTTTAGGGTTTAGGATTTAGAGTTTAGGGTTTAGGGTTTCAGGGTCAATGGTTTAGGCTTTAGGGTTTTGCAAGAGAGGTTTGGGCCCACCTTTTGCTTGGTTGCTAGGTAGTCCAGAAAGTACCCTGTGACTTTAACCTTTTTTCTGGGCAGAGCAGTTAATATAATCGCACCAGCACCTTCTGTTGCCTAGGAGATTGGAGAAGTAGGTGGATGTTCAGTTTTTCGAATCTAAACCCCCCCAAAAAAAGAACAGGCAAGGAAAACAAGCTGCTTCCAAGATTGGACCCTAAGCCCTCAACCCTGATTCCCGAACACCCATCTGCCCTGAAGAGGTGTTGCAGGTGCAGAAGGCGCTCGTCACACTGGGCTACCTTGCTGCGCCCTGGCGGTAGAAGTCTTGTGCTTTGCCTTGATGACTGGCATGATCCTTTACCAGTATTGTTGCTGTGACGGTGATTGCTACTGCCATTTTCTTCCTACGACTCTTCGACTACGATGCTTATTTCCATTGCCATAGCTGCTTTGATTGCGATGTTGTTTTATGTTTTACGAGTACCATTTGTAGGTTGGTAGCTGCAGCAGGGTTTAGGGCCTACAGGGCTTGGGATTTCGTATTCAGCTTCAGGATGCGAGGCTTAGAGCTCTGGGACCTGCAGAGGCTTGGCCTTTCGTGGGCACTGATCAAAGCTGAAGTTTTAAGGGCGGGGCGGGGGAATCCTGCTGAAGGGGCCAAAGAAGGTTGCGCCGAACACTTGCACACGTCCCTCCCAAAAAGGTTGACCCGAATATTTGCCAAACTCACGTGTGACTCGAAAGGTTGAACCGACAATCTGGTGAATTTAGGCTGGCTTCCCCAAATCGACCAAAGACTCCTCACAAGTTAAATGCAGAAAAAAGTTGGCGGAATGCTATGCAAAGTAAGAGGCAGGGCTTAGGGTTTTGTAATGTTGTGGGATCCACCGGACGGGTGGGTATGTCTCCGTCGCTTGACAAGCTGGCTTGACTCGTGAATGTTTTTAGTGAAAGCTTTCACTTGACATGCTGAGCAGATGCTGAACCCTAGACCTTGAACCCCAAAACCCCAAACCCCAAACTTCAGACCCCCAAACCCCAAACTACAAAGTCCAAACTCCAAACCCTAAACCCTACACCCTTCCTGAGCCCGATCTCGGTGGTGCTGCCCAAGGAGGATCCCACCTTCGCCTCAGGGGTGTTCGATGCAGCCACTGCCACTTTTCGTGCTAGGGTTAAGGGTTTACTGGGTTTCGGGTTGAGGGTTGAGAGGGTTTCGGGTTTAGGGTTTACAGGGATTCGGGTTCATAGGGTTTCGGGTTGAGAGGGTTTCGGGTTCATAGGGTCTCGGGTCGAGAGGGTTTCGGGTTCATAGGGTCTCGGGTCGAGAGGGTTTCGGGTTTACCGGGTTTCAGGCCTCTCGGACTGTTGTGGCTTGTAGGGTATAGGGTTTAGGGTTTAGGGTTTAAGGTTTATGGCCGGCTTTAGGGCTGATAAAGCTTGCGGTGTTAGCGCGCGGTCGGGTTTAGGGCTTCTGGGGCTTGTGGGGCTGAGGGTTTAGGGTTTAGGGTTTAGGGTTTCGGGTTTAGGTGCTGGTTCGCTGCTTAGGCGTTGTTGGCCAGTTTTAGAACCCTGGTGTTGTGCTCACAGTCCTCGAAACGGATGGACCACGGGAAAGGGGGACTCGTTGCTGAGCCTGCCTTATGGTCCTTGTAAGAACAAGCATGTTGAACAGCTACCGAGCATTCTGTGCTAAGTCCGAAACCGAGAGTTTTTGTTTTTGCAGGGGTTTTGGGCTCCAGAGGGCTTCGGGTTACAGCTCTCTACGGCTTTCAAAAACGCCCTCTTCAGGCAATTTTTGTTTCAGATCCAAGCCCTACACCCTAAACCCTAAACCCTAAACCCTAAACCCTAAACCCTAAACCCTAAACCCTAAACCCTAAACCCTAAACCCTAAACCCTAAACCCTAACCCCTACCCCCTAAACCCTAAACCCTAAACCCTAAACCCTAAACCCTAAACCCTAAACCCTAAACCCTAAACCCTAAACCCTAAACCCTAAACCCTAAACCCCGGAACCCTCATTCAGGGTTTCCGGTTCAGGTTTTGAAGCCCTTCGGGAGAGGCGCGCGCAAGCCAAGGAAGAAGCCGTGAAAGAGTTCCAGCGATTCAGTGGCCTCGCCCAGGACATCCGTGGGGTTTAGGGTTTAGGGTTTAGGGTTTAGGGTTTAGGGTTTAGGGTTTAGGGTTTAGGGTTTAGGGTTTAGGGTTTAGGGTTTAACCCAAAAACCCTCAACCCTGAGCCGTTAAAAACCTTTCGGGGTTCTGTGCTAAGCCTGTCTGATTCCATCACATTCTTTGTGCTCTGTTTATCGGTTTGTGTTGCCAGAGGCCGCTTGCAGTTTCTTAAAACCCTAAGCCCGAAACTCGTAGCCCGAGACCCTCAAACATCAAGCCCTTTGCGTTGCGTGTTGTTTGGTCTTGTTGGTCCTTTTCCGAAGCACCTGCAGCCTCTTTAGGGTTTAGGGTTTAGGGTTTAGGGTTTAGGGTTTAGGGTTTGGGGTTTAGGGTTTAGGGTTTAGGGTTTAGGGTTTAGGGTTTAGGGTTTAGGGTTTAGGGTTTAGGGTACTATCAAGCCCCAGCTGACGGTTCGGCCACTCGAGCTCGCACACCCCGTTTGGCCTACATCAACATCACCTAGCCAGCGTTGCGCCGTGCCGAGCAGAGTATCGAAGCGTTTTGAGAACGATTTAGGGCGGTTGCTTTGTGTTCTTGCTGATCCCCTCCTCCTTCCGGAGCCATTCTAGACCCCAAACCCCCAAACCCCCAAACCCCCAAACCCCCAAACCCCCAAACCCCCAAACCCCAAACCCCCAAACCCCAAACCCCCAAACCCCCTAACCCCCTAACCCCCTAACCCCCTAACCCCCTAACCCCCTAACCCCCTAACCCCCTAACCCCCTAACCCCCCGAACCCCCGAACCCCCGAACCCCCGAACCCGAACCCCCCGCTGAACCCCTAAACCCTTAAACCCCTAACCCAATCCCCTAAACCCTAAACCCTAAACCCTAAGCCCTAAACCCTAAACCCTAAACCCTAAACCCTAAACCCTAAACCCTAAACCCTAAACCCTAAACCCTAAACCCTAAACCCTAAACCCTAAACCCTAAACCCTAAACCCTAAACCCTAAACCCTAAACCCCTTCTCTGCAGGACGGCCTCGTGGGGCCCGTGACCAAAGCGCAGCTCACCGCGCAGCGCTTCGACCGGCTCCCGGACGTTTCCTTGGGAGGCGGGGTTGGCTGCCATAAATGCTGTTTAGGGTTGAGGGTTTAGGGTTTCGGGTTTAGGGTTTAGGGTTTAGGATTTAGGGTTTAGGGTTAACGAAAATCAGAGAACCCTACAATAGACCCCAATTGGTAGTAGGATTCCCCGAGAAAAGGACCCCAAGAAGGTATCCCCTTCATTTCGGAAGCCCCTGTATTTTGATCGTATTGCGGTGAAGGATTAGATTCTTTTTGGTAGGGTTTGGGGTTTAGGGCAGTTATTGTTGCGGGGTGTGTTGTTTCGGCCTTCATGGCCTGTCAGGGTGTTTTCATTGGGCTGCAGGGTCCCTGTAGGGTTTAGGGTTCAGGTGTTTGCGAAAATTGGCTTCAGCGGACGACGGCTTGCAGATCTTCGTCAGTCCTTTATGAAAACCCACGTTTTTGTAGGTGATTTTATACTAGAAATCTCCACTACAACAAAGCCTTGGGCTCTTAAAGTAGCGGCTTAGCGTCGTCCGTGGCTTCGCTGCAGTCGCAACCGTCCACTGCCTAATTCAGGCAGCCCCTTCAAGGACGGGCAGCTGACGTCGCTCAGACCAAAGCAGTTGGCGTGGGCTTCTTTGAACTTCGCCAAGTTCCAGAGTGAAGGGTTTTTAGAGGTTTAGGGCTTGGGGGCCATCGAGGGCCATCGAGGTATGCAGTGGGCCTGCTGCCGGGATACCTCGAGCGCACCTTGGCAACAGCAGGGGAGGGGGGGGGGTCTCGGCCTCGAACCCCGAGCATCCCGCAATCTCCGCGATCCTCCTAGGCCGCAAGCGCGCGAAGCCCAAGCTTAAGCCTCAGGGGCCTTGCCAGCGTTCAGAGAGGGAAGTTCAGTCTTCAGCGCAATCCTGCTGGTAACGGCCGAAAAGTCTTTCCAAACCCTAAGCCCCCAAATCCTCAGATCCGAAGGACGAGTGACTGGGGGTTTAAGGTTTCGTGTGCCAAGCAGACAGCCGCTTTGTAGGGAAACATCATATCCACCCCACGACCCACCACTCACAACTCTCAGAGCTTTGAGGCTTCTCCCTAAGGCCCTAAACCCTAAAGCGAATCTTCTTCTTCGCTGCACACGCCATGGTGGCAACGTCCGTTTTGGTAGGGCCAATGCTGGTTGAAGGCGCCCGCCCACCACCAAAACTCATATTGAACGAACCTCCCACGAAGACCCTCATTTTCCCGCAACCCCCCCCTAAGCCCCTGAGGCCCTGAACCCCAAGCTGGAAACCTCCAGACCCCCCCCAAGCCCTAAAGCCTAAACCTAAACCCTAAACCCTAAACCCTAAACCCTAACCCTAAACCCTCAACCCTCAACCCTCAACCCTCAACCCTCAACCCTCAACCCTCAACCCTCAACCCTCAACCCGTCAATGCCTGAACCAGGCCACCGTGCCCAGTGCCTTCAAGAGATGCACGAGGCTGGCCTGGCATGAAGGGGCGCCTGCGGCATGGGTCCTGGAGGTTTTCTAAAGCTTCCCGCAACCCTTAGTCCCCGGGTTTAGGGTTTGGGGTTTGGGGTTTGGGGTTTAGGGTTTAGGGTTTAGGGTTTAGGGTTTAGACCCGCGCAGGTCCTGGCGCAGTGGAGCGCTGCCCTAGGCTCAACGCTCCTTGTGTTGGGAATAGCGCTTAATTATCGGGCTCAGAGCTTACAAGTATGCGGTTAGAGTTTATAGGGTTTAGGGTCAAGGGTATAGGGCCAGTATAGGGTTTGATTAGGGTTGAGGGCGTTGGGGCTTGGGCCTTACGGTCTTAGGGGTTCGGGCATGTAGGGGTTTAGGAGATCGGGATTTTGAGTTGCAGGGTTTGGATTTTCTCTTGCCTGACATTGATTACCTACGTACCTGTCCAAGCCAAAGACCCCCCTAACCCTGGACCCTAACCCCCCCCAACCCTAAACCCTGCCGCTGATCTCCCCCACCCCGCCCCCCCCGCCCCCCCCCAAACCCCTATAACCCTCAGTGGCATGGACCTTTAGGGTCTATTTGGCACTTCCTTTTTGTTTGCTATTTAAACGGTTCAATTCACACATACAATTTGTGGGGTTTAGGTTTAAGGCAAAATTTATGGCTTAGGGCTAGTTCGGTTCACGGCTCAGGGCTCCCATGTTTGGCATCACATCTCTTATTTTCCTAGGGCTTCGCCACCTACCTCTCATTCCGTTTTCCATTCAACCCTCGTCTAAGGGTCTGGTGTTTGCGATAAATATACTACTTTAAAAAAATCAATAATAACATACATAACGCTAACTACAGGAGCTGCTGGAAATGACAAACCCTGAGCGCCTTCAAGTGTGTTGCTTCAATTAAGACGATAATATACTCTTTTGTTGATAAATATTCCCATGACCATATTGTTGTTTCAGCCGCTTTTAGCCTTTTCCTATTAGTATTGTTTTTGTTTACCTGATATAACACCAAGGAAGGGGAAAGGGAAAACACCACTTCATCTCGATGTGTTTATCTCTCCTTTCCTTCCCTCTCAAGATTTTTCTTTTGTTAATCTCCCTCTCTCTCTCTCTCTTCTTCGCTCTGTCTCTCTCTCTCTCTCTCTCTCTCTCTCTCTCTCTCTCTCTCTCTCTCTCTCTCTCTCTCTCTCTCTCTCTCTCTCTCTCTCTCTCTCTCTCTCTCTCTCTCTCTCTCTGTCTGCCATCTCTTGCTCTCTCATCCCTCCCCTCCCCTCTTTCCTTCCTCCCCTCCTTTCCAAAACTTTCTGCGGAGAATAAGGACAACTGTTGCGGACTTTTAGTCGCGATCTGAGCCCTGCAGGTTTGCATGGATGCACATTACAAATCAAGATTTAATTAAGTCAACTCCAAACTCTCATTCTGGAAAAGAGGCAACGAAGAACATGTGCAGCTAAGGTACCTGAGACGGGAGGGTTTTCAACATGCCTCCCGAGCCCAAGTGGTCTACACGCGGGCGAGCTTCAGCACACCCGGCTCAGTAGAAGCACTTTACAAATCATTACAAGTCAAATTTGTTACATTGTTGCCCGGCGAGAGTTGACATCACAGATGTTGGGCTCACACTTACTGCGGCCCAAGGGCTCTTCAAACGGCTTACTTGCTTTGTGAATTTCGAAAACACATGCGGGGCACTAGCAGTGGCTTCAAGTCACAGCCAACGCAAGTGAGTGCTTGCCTGTCGAGAACCGACAGTTCATGGCCGACAACAACGCAGAAGCGCGAGCTTCATGCAAATGCTTTGTGAACATGTCAGCCCTGTTCACATCTGTACATATTTTAAACACTTTTACATCTTTGTTGGCTACTCTGTCCTGCAACCAAAGATACTGGGTCTCCAGATGCTTCGCCCGGCCCAGTCCCTTCTTTTCTGCCAACGCCTTCCCGGCAGAGCTGTCTGTGCACAATCGGATACCGACTTCAACGCCGATATCTGCGAAGAGACTTCTCAAACCCATGGCTTGACTGCATCCCTTCAGCATGCCGTAAAACTCGGATTCTCCAGTTGACAAGGCGATCACCGCTTGGTTCGAAGAGAAGCTCCTCAAAGGGCTACTTCCGAAAAACACGGCACCACCACTAGTGGATTTCCGAGTCTTGCCACACCCTGCGAAATCAGCATCAACCTCTGCAACCAGGTCTCTTGGCATGTCTTGCCATTCGAACCACAAGAGCATACGGCGATGCGAGATCAAGTAACGACCAAGCCTGCGCAATCTTCTCATTGATGCTTCTGTCGGGGATGACATTTCGCGAGCGAGTTCCTTCACACAGTACTGGCAGTCAGGCCTTTCAGAACACATATAGGCTGCTCTCATGACACAAGACCTGAACAGAGTGGTATCTGCAGGTGAGAGCCGCTTCTGCGTCAGCTCTGCTTCCTCTTCGGGTTGCAGCTTCACGCCTGGCGTGCTCAAGCCTTTGGCATTCTTCAGGCCCAAGCTGCTGATCAAGATCTCTGCGTGACGAGGATCCGCTTCTAGGGAGTAGCCAGAATTCTCACGAGACAGCAAGCGGCCAAGGATTCGAACACTTTGTCCTGGACTTGAAAGTGTCGCGCAAAACTTGCACTTCCACATTTCTCGAAAACGCTCATGCAGCCACTTGATGTCTAGAGCTCTCGCCACAGACACGAAGTCATCACCGTGAACTTCAAGTCGAATGTCTTTGTGCGGATGATAAAACAAGCAACTGGATGCGCGCCCCTGTAAAAACCCAAGTGAGAGAAGCACCTTGGTATACTGTTGCTCCCAGTTGTGGGCCGCATCTCTTGTGCCATACATACTCTTCTTCAAAACAGCGACATGTTCAGGCATTTCCATTTCGGGCGGCAGCTCTACGACAACATACCTGGTGGCGTCTGCGCACCAATGTGCACGGCTAATATCAACGAAATCCATGACATACTCCGGGTTAGTAGAGGCTACAGCAATGAGTGCTCGCAAGCTTTCTGTTGGCGGCGTCGACGCATAGAAACCAACCTCAGATGGCTTGTGTCCCTTAACTTCTTTCGCCACAATCCTGGCGCGGTAACTGGGCGATTTGGAATCACCTTTGTTGACCAGCACCCACCTTGTAGGTATGACTTTGGTCCCACTTGGCAGTTCTGACCTCAGAACAGGCGTCCACAAGCCCATCTCGTCAGCTATGCGCAGCTCCTCCTTTTTCGCAATCTCTACCAAGCGAGAGTTGAGTCCTAAGCCACTGACGTCATCGAAGTACTCGTCCCAGCAATCTTTGCTATGACTCTGTTCACACAAACTGGGTTCATCGCAAATGGGCTCCTGAACCGCAGCATCCATTGAGAATACTTCGCTCCGATGACTCAGGATGGCCTCTTGCAGCATGCTCTCGAAAGAATCCGTCATCGCTGTCTGAGCTTCCGGACCCAAGCTCTCAGGTTCTGCAGTCCGTCTCTCATCCATGGCTTCAGGCGGCTGCTCGGCAGGCCGTTTGGATGATGGGGACCTTGCCTCCTGAGCGGAGTCCACTGCTGCACTTGACTCAGCTGCCACTGCCACATCACCAGGTTGTTGCTCCAATCTGGCTCGCTTCACGGCTTTCTGTTCCTCGTCATACTTCTCCACCTGTCGGGCCAGCCATTTGTCACGTCTTCCGTCTGCAGAAGTGACTTTGGAAACCAGTTCTTCATCTCCGCTGGCTTTCCATGCTGCTTCAAACCTGGCCCTACACTCCTCACTATGCTTGCCATAGAGGCCACGCCTTAACTTATCACACCCATCGCAAAGTGGAGTGAAACCGAACTTTAAGGCGTCAGACATACGGATGGCTGCCCTCCTGGGAGCACGGTGGGCATTAACCACGAACGGCACTGGCAGACCTTGTGGAGGCATTTCAGGAACAACAACTTGTGGGGCTTCACCGCCTTCGGCGTTCAACCCCCACGGTGTAGCCCTCATGGACAAAAGCTTCTCTTTGTGGGGCCACAACTGAGTCTCGTGTGAAGCTCTTACGCTCCACACTTTGACTACTTTCATGGTCTCAAAACACAAAACAAATCGTTCGGTGGTCAGGTCGGAAGTGCCAAGGTAGCATCCCTCTGACCATCTTGGCGCGAGTTTGCCAGCTACAGCTTTCAGTTTAAACACTATTGCAGCACCAAATTCAAAAACTGGCTCTCGCCA